TATTGCTGATGTACAGACTGGGCTTGTTCATGCCCAAAATAAAACACCCACAATGGCCCATCAAAACATCCAGCCAAACATGCACACTCTCTCACAAAAATGTCCAGAACTCATTTTTGTTTTCTTTGTATTTTACTGGGCAGTATGAGTCATCTTTTTAGTAATCCACTGCATTCACATACGGTTCCACTGCCAACCACGAACCCACCCCCAAAAGCGCTCCTCACGATGCCTGGACACCACGTGCTGACGAGTCTCGTTGGGCTTGTCACCCTCGACCCTTGCCCTTTCTCGCTTCATGCATGTTTGTGTGAAGATGCCGTAGAGGGCCTTCCGTACTTTGAACTCCATCCATCCCTCGTCCTTCGCATCCTCACTTCCGGGGGTTGGCGGTCCATAGATGAAGCGTAGAGCATCGATCATCCTCCACACAGCTGTGTTGGCCTCATAGATGGCCGTTTCAGACATCCCCATGGCACGTTCGAGGTAGCCAATCTCCTCCATGATCACGGCCACCCGGTTTCGCGCCCCTTCGGTCATCACTTCGGCTTGTTCCAATCGCAGTTTCTCCAAGGCAAGCTCTCCGAGCTTGCCTTGGATGTCTTGCTGCGTCGCGTCCCACACAAACTTCTTGCCGAATGGCATGGTGGGGCCGTCGACAATCGAAAGAACCCACAACACCCAGAACGACCCCCTCCTTTCACGTACGTACTGCTTGCCGAGTCCAGTCCGACCACGTGGTTGTGAGCGCGTCAGACATGGTTACATAAACACCACGTCACTTGTCAAAGTCCAGTCACGCGTTTGAAATGCGACCCCATTTCAAACAGCCATGGTGGCCGATGGGCATGCGCAGCCCCCCCTAGCCTACCCGTCCGACTCCCAAACTAGCTTCTAACCCAACCAGCCGACTGACTCAAGGGTGTCGCGAAGCTTGTCGGGGCCGCTCGACCAGTTCTGGCCTCGTTCTTTTCAACAACCAGAGGCGTATCTCCAGCCGTATCTGCTGCAATGCTCTTTCCGTATTCAGTTCTCGTTCTCTCGTTCGAAAGCCCACCATGGCATCCATAATGCAAGGCAGCATGCTATGCTGGGATGGCAAGCCCGGTGGAAGCTCGCACAGCTCCCTTTGCTCTCTTAAAAGAGCTTGCAGTCTTGGTTTTTTGGCTCTGAAGACAGCCATGCTCTCCTTCCTCTCCTGGTCATAATACTCATTGTTCACTTCTTCCTCGACCTCCTTCACCCTCGCCTGGATGATTCGATGCGCTCTGAGCAGCACTGGGACATTCGTCTCCCCTCGAAGCCTTGCTTGTTCAATGTCTCCGACAGCTCCCGTCCACGCCTTCACCATTCCCTTGTACACAACCTGCTCGAAGTCCAGAGCAATCGATTCCGCAACCAGTTCAGGAGCTTCGTTTACTCCAAGAGTCGCTCGCACCACCTCTGAGAGGTTCCTAACCACTTCATACAGCCCTCGATCACGTTCAACTGCAGCTGTCCATTCGCCTTGCAAAACGTCCCTCATATCACGCAGCCTCTTCCATTGAGGGTCGCAGTGGATCGCCCCGTCACCAAGGGTAACTTCCACTTCCACTCCAGGGGTCTCTCGACGTGCCTGCATGTGCGCCTCGATCTCGTTCACAAAAGAATCAACATCCGCCCCACAGGGCATTCGTGAAAGGTCGCGCCAACGCACAACCCTTGCCATCCGAGGTCCATACCCACACAGGACGAAGAGCTGGCCATGCTAGACGCTCCAGATAGGCCAATACCCACTTGACACACTCACTACAAATACTATATCCGTACAGGACCTGACAAGCTGAAAAAACCCACATCTGTGCCAATTCTTATCCAAATAACACGTTCTTACCCTCATTGGATAGAGGACAGAGCGTATTATCATGTCCCAAAGTTGAGATTATTCCTCCCTCAGCTTCCCACTTAGAATCCAATTCTTGAGATGCAATTTCCTGTATCTCCTTAGCCGCTGGGTCCCTGGGGCTCAAATTTGGTCCCCGAATGAAAACTCTAACTAATTCAGGACTGTTCAGAAAGTCCTGAAATTGGTACCCATGCATTACAAATCGTCCACTGAGTACATAGAAAATCTCAGATAAATACAATGACCAAAATTGGCGCTAATGGGTTCATAACTGTGCTGCAAAACCAAGTCGCAGCTCTTTCGCTCTTTCAGCAGGCCGTCAGGGGTCGCGAACTACAGGCCCCGCTTGATGGCGCCCGATGCGCGCCCGATACTGCCCGATACTGGCCTCCCCGGCAGCCCCACGGGTGCCAGGTTGAGTCAGCTGTCGGCAGTACACCCTTTTGCTCCCCCGACGCGGCCCCCCCAGCTCCGCTCAGCCCCCGCGCCCCGCCGGCCTTCCGGAGCGGCGCGTTCACTCCCCCGAGCTCCTGCGATTAAACTCCCCGTGCAGGACGGGAGCCAACCCCCCTCTCCGCAATCCTGCCGGGTTACTTTCCCTCCGGAGCGCAAAGATCGACCGCGCGGCTCCGTGAGCCATGGCCGTTCGTGGTGCCCCGCATCCGGTCGCATGGGATCCCGGGGCATTCTCTATTCTTGCCTTCCGCTTGCATCCTATCCAGGCAGGCCGCAAGGCCTCTCCCTTGTCCGTATTTTCCCCTGGCTACATTTCGTCCGCTCCGCCGAGATCGGCATCCCGGCCGGATGGATGGGATGGGCCTCCCGCAGCCCCATGGCTGGCCATCGGTCGCGCGACGCGATCACTGGGCATTGCTCTGATTTTTTGACGTGGAGCTCCTCGCCGTGTCCCTCTGAGCCACTGGGTCTGGTTTTGCTGCACGCGCGTGGGTTTGCAAGCTGTTCCGGTCGGCAAAGGGGTGACGGGTAGAGCGCCAGTACTTTGCCGCGAGCGGTGTCCCGCTGGTGCTTCCATGGTGTTGCGTGGGTTTCTGTACATTGCCAGCCGCATTGGACAGTGCTTCCAGCTTGCTTCAGGGCTACTGTGGCTATACTGGCAGGTCCTGTGGCTTCCCAGCGCGTCCTGGGTCCCCTGTGATGTCGTCCTGGTGTTGGGAAGGTGTCGTTGGTGCTCTGAGTCATCCTGGACCGGTTCTGGGCTACTTGCCACTTGCTCTGGGCCTCACGGGGCGCCAGCTGAGCGCTACTAAAGGGGCAGTCTCTATGATGCAATCTTTCTATGTTAATTGGCGCCCCGAACAATTGCATGATGATCTGAGTGCCGGTACTCTTGCAGCTGCGCACTGCCATTCACATCTCCGAGCAGTGCGCCTTTGACTTGTCCTCCGGTGAAGGCCCACCAGCAGCTCAAGCATAAGACGACGATGACACCCAACTGACCAAACTGCTGTGGATGTGCAACTTGGCCAACGATATCTTCGTGCTATTGACGTTGCTGCTGTGGCCGATCAGGAGGACGGCAAAACTCTCTTTGCCCACTACTTGGTCTGGGTGCGCAAATAAAGCCCCACTCTGATGCTGCAGCGAGCGCTTGGCAACAACATCGACACAGGCATCAACAAACCAACAAAGGAGAAGAGCCTGAAGGCTACAACCAATCCGCTAGAAACTGGATTAATCTTGCCCCCAGAAGGCGAGCGGCATTGGTGTTGCAACCGCATGGGCCACATTGTCCGCACGGGAGGAGTTGTGCAAGGCATCCATGCCAGCACAATAGTAACGTGCATTGGTCCAATGCCGCAGCACAGCTCAGCCATTTAGGGAAGACACTATGTCGAAATTGTTATGCTTAGCGTCAATTTGACTGACGGGGGGCGGGGCAGACCTGTGACGCTAAGAGATGACGTTATTGCAATACAATCTACATAAACTTGGAAGATACCCCAAAAGCTGCTGAAAAGCGGCAATAAGCGTATGATTTGTCTCAAAACTTCCCTTTGGCTCTCAGTCTTCACAAAAGGCCCCGTAAAATCTCGATTGGCGGCCTTCAAAACTGCCCCCCATCATCTGCTATGGCATTTTGCATCTTAGTTTTCAGCCCACTAAAATTGCTACAGTTTTGGCAGGTTTTCTTTCCTCAAAACATAACAAATTGGCACCACACCATTATGTAATGATGCTGAGTCATCCTGGCTTCGACATAAGGACTGACTCTAAGCGTAACAAACTCGACATGGCATCTTCCCTTACTCTGTTCGGTCGCTCCGCGTTCCATTTAAGGTGCAAGGGAACTGCTCTGTCCTGCACAGGCAACTGTAATCAAAACGGACGTCCACCGTATGCAACTGTTGACGGCGACTTACCAAAGCAGTACAGATGCAGTTCGCTCATCCCTTTGGCGGCAATCGCAGTTGTGTGTGCACCTCAGCGACGTTTCGGAGCCTTGCAAATGCTGGAGAAGTTGAAGATCCTAGCCCTCGCGTGTGACAGCAATGGCAACGCGCTGTTGAGCATGCTGAGGCTCAAGGACACCCTCAAGCACGTGGACACCTGGTACTTGGAACCCACTTGACCTGCAACCTGAGCCGCACCATTCCCTTAACAGGAAGTAATTTTGCACGACTCGGCCACCTGCTGGGCAGCCACTTCCGAACTGTGGAAACAGGGCACAGTGGAAGACAGATACACTGCGACAAACAACCGCACAGTAGCTTGAAAACTCCCTCCATTCACATCCCAACCACCACCATGTTGAGTATCTCCCACTTGGTTTATCCACCCTTGTGCACACGTCTCTCCCCATTGCCTCGTATACCTATCATGGCCCACACCGAGCTTACTATATTGACATTGAAAAGCTACGAAAAGGGGGCCGCCCAGCCCTCTGTCTATTCTTCTTGTACGACAAACGTCCTCTGGGTCCAGGACCATAACAGGACACTAGCACTCGATGATTGGAAGTACTAGGAGAGCCACTTGCACTGCTCCCCTCCCGCACAAATACGTAAAGGAAGGCATGTCACACAACGGGCACCCGACTTTTCAGCACATCAACACTGCAATGCTGCAGTTTAGCGAGGCAGCTCATTTGGATTCATTAAACGTCCATCTCGGCTGCCATGCCGTAGTCCACGTCGCTTTCTGTGTCAGAAGAGTCCGAGCACAGGGTCGCTGATTTTCTCTGCAATGAACACGCAAGCATAAACGTAATCAGTGTTTGGGGCGTCCGGGACACTGCTAATTGTTGCTTCAGATCATCAATCTCAGCTGTTTATTCACTGTCAAATTCAATCCTTTCAGCATCAAGCTCCTGTAGAAGCATCCTGACAAGTACAGTGCCTCATAGAGCAGGAGCCCAGCCCACCAATCGAGTTCTGACCCCACTACACATTGGAAACAGTCATGCGACAGGACAAGGGGCCACACCTGGCGTGTGCACCCCTACACTACCTACGTGTGTGCTGAATTCTTTCCTGGTGTCACAGCAATGCACAGGATTGGGTCACTCGCATAGCACAGAACATTTCAATTTGAGCCAGAGCTGCAATTGCGAATTTTGACCACGACAAACATATGGGTATCAGCCATACACATCAGCCATTAGTGTGACTTTTCATTTGCAAAGCAAGGAACACAACATTGGCAGGGTATGTTCTTTTCGGTTGCAGTGCCTGAATGAACTCTTGCTAAATACAGTGACAGCTTGGGAAATTAAAACAAGATATCATCAGAGAACATGCAGGCGGAGACACTTGCTCACCCTGGCAATCTTACTGACGCCTCGGCAGCCAAACATTACAGTGCGCTTGAGCTTCCTATTGTAGAAAAGATATGCAAAGCTCCACAGCTTGCCCTCATCATCTGTGCAAAACGTGTGAGACTAAATTTCAGACTGTCAGAGGAAACGACAACACACGGAACCAAAAAATCCCCTGAGCGGCTCCAATAAAGGAAACCAATATGGTTCTGCAGCAAAAGATCTTATATTCGCCCAAGGAACAATTGGCCACTGTGTGCATTCCGCAAGCAACGTACCAAACAAGTCTGCGTCCACGTCTGGCCTGTATTGATACACCTCGCAGCTGTTCAGTTCAATGGCCTGAGCAGCACCATGGGCATTGCTGTTAGTCGATCAACCAGCCACTAGACGTCTTCCACACTTGAATTCCCACAACTCCCTATGAGTTGTAACTCATAATCAAGGGCTCAGACTCCTCAGTGCAGTAGATGAATGGTCCAGCAACTGTCATTACATTGCCACAACTAGCTGGACACCAGTTGATACTCAGCCATTGACATCTCTAGTTTCATAAGTTCGAGTCTGCTGACTGGTGTAAAGCAAGTCTTAGGCTTGAGGCGCTGACAAATGGCACACATGGTAACTACCTGCGCACTCCAAGCAGCTGACAATATGGCACCAGAACATTGCCTCTCAGAGACGAGAATGGTTCACATCACCAGGTACATGCTGGCCGACACCCACCTCATCAATGGCTTTCCTCACGCTCTCCAGGAATGAGAGGTCATTCACATCGGGGGCGCTCTCCCAAACCTGTCACAGACGGGCAGGGATGAGCATTGTTGTCACACCAGCCCAACCCAATAACGACAACTGCCAGTGTCAGGATGGGTGAAGTGGGGAGCTCATGCTCCCCATGAATACAGTTGCTCTGCCAAACTACGCACATCTAGAGCACACTCAGCTTGCTTTGTTCACTTGCTAATGTGTTCAAATCGCATTCAAAGCCTAGACAAGGACGTGGTTGCAGTGCTGAGCGTGCTGCACCTGGGCAAGCACAGCAATCACCAACCTTCGCGATTTCCGACAGGTGGCGTTGGACTGTTTCTTCAAGAAGGGAGAGGTCCAACTCCCTCTTGAAGTGGTGAGCCCTCAGCTGGCTGAAATCGTAATCGGGTAATGCGTGGTTCAGAGTGAGTATCAAGTAGATGAGTGTTTTTCGACTGCAATACCACACAAAGAGCACTGCCATCAGCGGAACTACCTCACGCGTGTGACATCCCACTCTGAAACCGGTGTGGACCAAATATGCTTGTTCACTTGTACAGTTTGCAAAAGCCCCAATTCGCATCCATATTTGCTGCCCTTCGGCGCAGACAGGCAAAAGATCGGGAGAGCAACCTTCCCGAGCTGATGCTGCTCTGGGGATGAAGATTTTGGCAAAGGCGTGGGCGCTTGTGCCATTCCTGATGCCAAGCATGCGTCCTGCATTTTGCATGCCACGGCTGCCACACAAATTCATGATGCCTAAGCGCTCAGCTCATTCGCCTTTGTGCGCGTGACCGGTTCCCAGAGGGGCATGGCTGCGTTCAAACAGAAGCATGAGGCAAGGATATGCCTAAACTGCGCAGTGACGACCACACAGGATGACGCCACTGTCGGGGCAAGCTGGCGCTCGTCAAGGAGAACAGCCCTTTTCCAGAGCACCGCGAGCGCCGCACAGCCGACGAAGGTGCACACCGGCTATGAAGACCCCCCCGACCCAGTCAGCGCCCGCCGTGACGTTCGCCCCTGCGAGGCGAACATTTCGCGCAGTGCTGCCGTTGCGCACCTGGCGCTCTCTCCGGTCGGCCCCACGGGCGACTCCGCCAGCACGGAGGGTGGGCTCTCCATCTGTATCTCTTCGTCGAGGCTGCGGGAGAGCTTTTTGTCCAGGCCGGCCAGCTTGCCTGGGCGACGAAAACACGGCGTGAACATCCAGTACGTGGTTCTGGAACATCTCGTTATGGCCACATCGGGCAACATTCCGTTAGAGGCCACATGAGCGAGGTCTGGTGAGGCGGACACTCACAGGAATAGGCTTCCAGGCCTCCGCACACGACATAGTTGCCCACGTCCACTGTGTCGAGGAAGGTGTTGAGCCTGAGCGAGCAAGCAGGGGCGTCAGCCGCTTCCTTTTTACCGGATGCAGCGAAGCATCCGGAGCGACGATGCGCCCACCCACCCACCCACCCACCCCGCCAACCCCCCCGTCCAGCGCCCCGATACAGAAAGGCGCTCCGAAGCGACCCTGCGGTGTCCTGCCGGCCTCCACCGCACACCCACTTGGCTAATTGTCGAGCATGTATGCTGCTTTCCCTGAACCTCCCTCCTCCGCTTTAAGCCCCACCACCAGCCCCAAAAGACAAAGAATCGTAAGCGATGGGTGAAATCAAATTCGCAGTTCGGCGCGGAAAAGGGCTCCGATCGTTTTCACCTCACCTCGCGAAGTGCGGGACGTCAAGGTACTTCATGCCCAAACTTCCCCAGTCAAATGGCCCTACGCGGTCCACTCCGACGTCTCGTAGCAAGGGCTCCCCGGCTGGCGGCGATCAGCGCCTATCCGAAACGCGGTGCTCTGGGAGGGGCGGGCGTTCCTGCGCGGCTGCGCAGTCGTCTCCTGCGCTGGGCCGGATGCAAAGCACGCCCGGACAGCGCTGCTGCCCGACATAAGGCCCGGGGCAGCGGTGCGAGGTGGGCGTCGGCGGGCGGGGGGGCTGCTGAAGCCGGGCTGGTGCGCGGAGGGGGCCGCCCGCGGTTGGGGTGGTTGGAGGGAGGGTTGGCGGAGCAAGTCGACGAGTTTGAGGTTTGGCGTGGGGCTGGGGCGACGCTGGCTGGGTGTTTCAGTGCGGATGGTAGGGAGGATGTCTGACCGGGGACCGGACCGGGTAGCTCTGGATGGGATGCCCCTCTCCAATACCAAGGACAAGGGGAGCCTTGAGTACTCTTCTACCGAACAGTGAGGGTTGGTGTAGGTAGGGAGTGGGACTGTTGTCGTGGCCGGTCCTGGGTCCGAGGGACCAACATCCAACGCTGGTCTGATGACACCTGGGGTCGTTGCAATGGGCCTGGCTGTTCGGACCACGCATACAACGCATATGGAGGCCGTGCACGTATACGTATCCTGTAAACCTCAACGCCCAACCGCCCAATCTTGACCCATCTCCGTTTCCGTCTCCATCTCCGTCTCCGTCCCCGTCTCCGTCTCTGTCTCCATCTCCGTCTCTATATGGGTGGTCTGTGTCGGGAACAGTGCTGATTGAGAAGCGGCTGGTGCGGGATGTCGTTTCCAGGGAGGGTCTCGTTTTCATGTTACAGTCTTGCGCCCCACCTCTGTTTCAAAAGCTTTGTCCATTGCCGTTTCTTGCCATGGATTTGCAAGAATGATTCTTTTAGTCAATCCGGCACCATGTACAGATTGTATGGTTGAGGTTAAGTTGGTGTGGACCTTGACTGCATTTAACAACGCCATGCAACGAGGCACTCACATCAATATAAAAGGCACCCCTGTCACCTCTGCGTGGGCCCTCAGTTGAACTCCAAAAAAAGGGCGATGATTTCAGTATTGGAGAACATGGATGCCGACAGCAGCGCAAGCATAACTAATTGTCGGAGGTGTTCATTTCTTCTCAGGTGTAAACTTGACATCTTGCACCTTTTGGAGTGAACGAACTCCAGATCAGGCTGGAGCTGACCCGGTGGAACCGTTTTTGTGGGGAAGAAGGCAAACCTCAACCTTCCAGAACAATGAGTGCCTGTGTTTCTTATTGGGGGCGTGGTTTGGGTTCCGACAACAGTAGTTGGTGTCATCAATCATTGCAACGCCATTGACCTGCCATTTATTACTGATGAGAAAAGATGGGCTTCAGGAACTATAAAACAATGGATACCATCTAATGGATGCCACCTGCTTCGGTAATCTGCTCTGCCAACACAGTTGTAGGACCGGCTCAACCAGGTGGCATCAGTTTGGGTGCTGGCATCTGTCCAAATCACTCAGTGCCTCATAGAGGCGCTTATGTCTTTGCTTCCATGCCTAACGTGGTGTGATGGCACGATCAGCTGGAAGGGAGGCCAGACAGCGAGAGAGGTGGTACCCCAGAGTATGTAATGGGGTTGTTTCTGTCCAGAAACTCTCAACGGCCTCTCGTCGGGAGTCTTGTGGCTAGAAGGGTGCACAATGCGCAGCTACTCTCTTCTTCTTACGATCGCTCATCCCTGTTGCGGGCAATTATTGAAAGGGGTGAGGATGTTGAAGAGCTGGCGCCACATGCCCATTGCCGCACTCGCCACCGAAAGATGCAGCAAATCACCACGACAGTGCTCACCCATCCTCGAATTTACTCAGAGTGCTGGCTACAACATTGCCAGCAAAAACGCGTGTGGCTGGTGTCCACACTCGTAAAATGAAATCGACCGACCATTCATCCAGCACTCACATAGGACAGGGAACACCCAAAGGATAGATAGGAGGAGACGGACGTGCCCCTCACACCGAAGGCGCAGAACTAACAGTGCGTTCTTCAACTTGGCAATTGTGGCTTAGTATGCACCCATGTCGGACGTCATTCAAACAAATCCCAAAAGACGTCCTTCAAAAAGCTCCCATCAAGAAAACTATGGGTGCCGAACGAAGACAACCAAGTCTGCTGAGCCTCCGCTTTCAAGAGATCGACAGGCGCCCCTAGTCGTGCCTCGTGCCTCTGGCTCTCAGCAGACACAATCCACTGCACATCAACCGCTTTGACAGCCATTCGCATACAAAAGCCAAGCACAAGCCCTGGCTGTGGCAAGCCTACGGCTCCTCTCCTCCATCCTCAAGGGTGTGACGCACTGCTGTCGTTCATGTACGAGTAAACATGAGAAAATCTCTTAGGCCATGCACATTGGGACGACCGCCACGGTATAAGCAGCAATCTTGTGATCTGCCTTCTTCTTGGCACGAAATAAAGGAGGGGCCACAACAAACACGGTCCAAAGATCCCGTGGGGCACCCATGAAACAATTTGAGCGGGAGAGCGAACATGCCATGCTGGCAGTCAGAGGTGTCGAGGCTTAAAATTAACCCTCTGACTTCCCATCGCTTCTTCTCAGCACGAGCGTGAAAGGCAACGGCACTGCAATGAAATTACTGCTGTTGGGCATCCGATTCAGGCGGAAGGGCGGCCATCGGTGCTGTACCTTCCACCAGCATTTTCGGACTGGCCGACCTTCTGACACACCAGCAGCTGGGCCAAGTGGACGGCCTCCAGCGAGCCTGTAATCGTGACCTTCCTGCACCCCGTGTCTGGATTCACATCATCTCTGTCTGACACTTTAACGCGTGCACGAGATTCCTGCATGGCCAACACAACGTTTTCAGCGAAACCAAAATGCTGACAACTTACTGCTGGCTGCGCTCCTACAATACCAGATAACTGTACTCGTAAGTAGCAAGCAAATAGCTTGGTAACTGCACCTTGGCAACCGGATGAGTGGATGAGCTAAACAAACACTCCTTATAGTTGGCCTTGAGACACAAGTCAAGCCACGTAGTGGATATTCGACATCTCTACCTGCCAATGCAATGCACTGTGAAACAACTATCAGGAACAAACCCTCCACAACGATGCAGGGTAAGAGAATACGAAGTAGTTGTCTAGGGGCGAAGTGGTTACTGGTGTTTGATGGGCATCTTCCAGCTTCTGCATAATGCAGCCTACCTATTGTTGGTTAGGGGCAACTGTGCCTTTTCGGGAGCTCAGTTGTGGAACGTGGGACACAAACGGATGCAGCAACATACATTGGAAACTCATTCTATTTGCTGGATTCATTCTTTTGCTGCCAACACAGCTCTGTCCCCGTCTGCATTCGTTGGACTGCACACTGGTCAACTGATACATGCAGCAGCTCGAACAGGGGATTCATGCTCCAGCAACATTGCTGGACAACAGAGGGTTTCATTTTGGAGAAATGACACAGGATCACAGCGCTCAACAGTGCCACACACCACACAGCTACAAAGAATCGCCAACACAGCCGAAACTCCTGCAGGGCTGCAGCTGTTGTTTCCAATAAGTAATGCTGTAGGTGGCATGCAGCACCTCTGTCTATAATCAACAGTAGAGTATGCATCTCAACGGACCTCTGTGCTCAGTTACAGTGCATGTGTAGCCAAGTGGAACGCACTGGATGCAGGAAGCACCACCTCCAGTGAGTAACTGTCTGACATATCCAAACAGGCAAATGCCATTGAAGTTGCATACCTGTGTGATGTCTGCAATATTCCTTCCCCTCCTTCCAAGAATGGCTCCAGCGTCAGCATTGGAGACCTCCATTACCAGCATTGTTGGCACAGCTGCCAGTGGAGCAACTGAATGAATCACAGGATGCACGTTAGCCAATAGAAATGTAATAATCACCCAACCAAGGCACCAAAGGTGCACACACATGCACAACATAGCAACAGTCCACAGACATCTTATGAGACACATGCCCATTGCCTGCAGGCCGGCTGTGGATTCCTCCGGCTTAATTGGTTCACTCAGAGTGATAGCACTGGGCCCTGCGCAGGCAGAGTGAATAGATGAACAAAATGCACCATATGCAATGGTGTTATGCCTTTGGCAGCATCCACAACCTTTAACCGAACACACAAAGGCAGCCACTCAGCTTGGGACAAAAGGGTATCTGACAGCCATGTCTTACCCATGTGAACCCAGCCGATGATGGCAACAACAGCAACTGTGCGCAGATGTCTACGGCTTCACACAGGCCAAGTATCCACCTAGACTGGCCTTCACATTGTGCACAAGGGGTCTGCCCATGAGGGACTGAAACTGTGATGGCAAGCAAGAGACAGCAGAGCCTTGCCAACTGTCCTTAAGCTTGGATGTGTACCACACATTTGATGCTTGCCAACGAATCTTTCTGATGCCCACTGTGGTTCCTGACCTAATTGTGCTAAAACCTGTCCAAGGCACTGTTGGCGCGGTCACTGTTACTCTACTAGCCCTTGCAGGAGTTTGGCCCACCGTAAGAAGACAACGATGCCAATGAGGGTCCCCTGTACCGTGAGGCTGGAGAAATCGGTTGGTCGGCATACTCATCATACTTTGGGTCCTCCGACAGCTGTGGTGCAGCACAAATGCTTGTAAGGGGGCACAAACAGCACAATGACAGGAAAGAGGCATCCTTTGCAGAAGCAACGCCTGTGCCAAGGCACGAGACAACATGCCTACTGTCCACACCATCCATGTCATCCATAACAGCAGTGTCAAATCTGGCAACCAACCATCCCTCAAATCTATGCATGGACACAGCTGATACCAACAATACCTGCACTATCTGTGTTACTCACAGTATCCATTCCATACATCCAAACCAATACGGTACCAACCTTGCTCAGGATCAGACCAAAAGCCCGCATTATCTGTGCCGTCATTCCCTTCACAGCGACCAGGCGCTCAGTCACACCGGGGAGTAGCTGCTCATGCCCTTGGATCCTGAAGCACAAGAGCATCAGCTGTCAGAGGCACCACATCCCAAAATGTTGCACGCATCCCCTTGGAAAAGAGTGGTCCCCGCTCCTGCCAAAAGAGCTTGCCACAAAACTCTGCACAGAAACGAGCATGACTGCACCAGTAAGCTGGCGGCCCAGTATCAACCGTAGATAACAATTGTTGGGTCAACATCCTAACACGTTTGCATTCATCCTACGCTACAAAAGGCACTCGGAAGGAACAAAAGCAAACCCTAAAATGGGCATCCCGTTCCCGCACAAACATTCCTATGCTCTTTTCCAAGCTGCTGAAGTAATGTGGAGCTCATGCTTAAGTGCACCAGGCAATGCACACAGCAATGGTGTCTGATCCTGCATACAATAGTCTGACAAGGCTAGCTGCCCACTCCTGACCTGATGTCTGCCTTGCAGTCATCCATGAATGCCCTCACTGTCTGCCCACCCTTGCCTATGATGGCCCCACACAAGCGAATGGGAATGCATAACTTCACCTGCAAGTGCACCAGTACCCATCAGGCCCCACACACCGTCGCTGCAAACGAGGGCATCAAAGTGCATCCACCCACACTTCCTGAAATTCTCTTTGGCATGCATTTAGCGAGCAGGGGAAGCAGAATCTTGGGCCCTGAACTGCCTCTGTTATGCGTGAAATACGTTTTGACTCTCTGCCTGGGCATTATTGTGACAATTTCCCATTAAACGGTACAAGGATGTGGGAATCGATATACCCCAGCAGAGCGGGCAAGGAGGAAGTTGGTCATCCTTCGACATCCCTGGAAATGCTGGCCTCTTTGTGGAACCAAAATGTTCATAAGAAAAGTGGCAACAACGGCAGCCCTGGAGCCATAGATTCGTTCATATGTGTGTGGCACAGCGTCCTTCGATGATCTTGTTGACAAGCTACTTCGAATTGTGGGCAAGGCACCCAGTTCTGCACGTGACCGCACCGTGAGGCCACCCTGAGAAGCCAGGTGTTCATCCTCCTCATCCCTCTCCTCGTCGTCCTCCTCCCCCTCCTCCTCTTCCACAGCCTCTTCCTTTATCTTTCCCAGCACCAGGTGCACTGCCGTCAGCACGGCGTGCAGCGTTCCCGAGATGACCGCAATGCGCTCCTTCGTGCCTTTCACCAGAGCCATACACGGCGATCAATCAGTCAAGACCTTCCAATATCCAGGCAGGAGGGCAGTCTTAGACTCCCAATTTCGCCCCAGAAAACCAATGGCAACGAATGGGGCAGGCAGCTGGACAGGGTTCAGGCGCAGGCGCCGGACATGGGCAAGGTTGGTGCACGTTGTGGACAAAGGAATGATTGAATGGGCGAATGCCCCTTCACGATGCAGTGGCGCAACTTCGCCCTGGCGCGGAGTGTCCATCCAAGGGATTCAGTCATTCAAAAACAGCAGATAGAGCAGCAAGGATGCGGCAGCCATCCAGGCCATTCAATGGCCCTCGCTCTGCGTCGCACCCACCTGGGAAGTACTCCCCTGCCCTGGACAGCTGGATCCTTGCCTGCGACGACTGCTGAAACTCGCTGATGGTCGCGCCGCCCTGGCGACAACAGACAGGCAGCAGGGCCAACGCCGATAAGCGACCGCCACGAGGGCACAGGCAGGCCGGCTGAATATCACATTCTCGCGTCAGGCCCATCCGTGCGCACGCACCTTTCCGATTATGGAGCCGGCGACGGCATTGGACACCAGCAGCTTCAGTACTGCCTTCTGCTCACCACTCTGAACTGCTCGCAGGACGCGACAAGCCGTGGGGCGTCATCTCCGCCGCGAGGGCAGGGGTCCAACGTGCTGCGCGACGGGGGAGGGGAGGCTTCGAATGGCCAACCCGCGAGCATTGGTCAATCCGCTGACCCACCTTCGGACGGAGAGGCTGCTGCGCTGTTGGAGGAATCCTCCTGATCAACCTGCGGCGCTGCGGCACCCTGATCAGCCCCAGCGCGCAATTTCGCAGCCGGCAATCGCGTGGGATGCGCCGACCCTCGCACATAGGGGATCGCGTTTGGGTGCCCACCGCCATGCTCATTGGTGTCCAGGCCGGGCGACGGGGCTCGCTGAGGGCGTCGAGCGTTGCCTGGGGCTTCGCGGTGCGGCGTGCCGTGCATTCGGGTCGACACGCTACGCTTCGGCCCTCGCGCACTTGTGCCTTGCGCTCGCAGAACTGCGCCGTGTTCACTTTGAGGGGTCGGTCAAGATGCGTTGGCGAAGTTAACGAGCATTAGGGCTCGTTTAGGAAAGACGCTGACGAAGGCAGGCAGGATCGAGGGGTGGCGATCCCTGAACGGGAATTATACGCTCGAGTCCACGGCAACGGTTTACAGCCGAGGCAAAGGACAAGAGACATTCCGCCCTTTATACTCAGTCTGTTCATCAACATCTTTAATGCAATTCCTAGTGCTTCGTCATCTTTTCATGTATTCAGTTATTAGTAGCACTCAATCAGTTCTAGCCGTAACAACGCTATGTCGATTTTGGTACGCCTAACGTCAATTTGATGCTGAGCTCAGAACCCCCTCCTTCCTCAGCGTCAATCCTTATGTAGATGTAAGGATGACACAGCAACATTACCCGAAAGTGGTTACAACAATTCAGTGGTTTTGAGGAAAAAGTTCAAATTTGTGTTGAATTCGATGCATTGAAAAATGCAGTTCCAAATGCCATTATAAGCGAGGCAGGCAAACTCAATGGCTGCAAACTGATCCATTCTAAGCCATTCTAAGGCTTTCTTTGACGATCTAATGCTTTCAAGAGGTTTAGGAACAAGTCATGGTGTGTTTGCTGCTTATTGGTGGCGGTTTTGGGCACCTTCTTTCCTTATGTCGATTTTGTGGCAATTATATAATCTCTTAACTTCACAAGCCTGGACTGACACACACATACACACCCTTAGCATCAATTTGAGGCTGAGCGTACCAAAATCGACATAGTGTCTTCCCTTACAACGCCACCAACTTTGGCTCATGAAAGATTGATCATCATCATTATTTCTTACCAAACAAGTAATGCGGTAGCCGTCAGCTTCCTACTTTGCCCGAGCAAAGAAGAGTCTGTGATCATTTTTTTAGAATCTAATGGCAAAACCAAACAACATCTATGAGTCTATTAACTCCTGATGCCTAGAGCGATTGTCGATGATAGTACATCGAACGAAGTGTCCTCGCCAGTTGGCGAACGGGAACCGAAGCAAAATGTGTTTTTGCATTGCGGCATCGAAAAATACAAGAGTGGCTTTGACTGATGATAACATAGGCCTGGCAATGGAAGAGAAAATGGATCTCGACTTCTGGAGCCAAGTGGCATAAAGGACAGAATCGCCTTGAAAATTCTGGAATAGATTGTTGCGATTGGTGTCGCTGTTTTTCGACTTCCAGAAAATGCACCATACAGCGAAATCGCGGGAAAAACATCGTTGAGGAGATAGGCTGCAATGAGTATAGCAATCGTTCATATCGGTGAGGAAGACGAAAGATTCACCGTTGTGCCCTGTGGGGCATACTTGGTCATGTATAGAATGGAGAGGAATACAAAGGTTAAATTGTTCGAACAACAATTGGTATGGAGGGTGGGTTTAAGGACAAGTCGAGGCGATGCGCCTCCAGCCGTTGGCTTGATGATTCAATTGAAAGGAAAACCGGCCACCATGACGGGCCCCATAGACATCCTTGGTTCGAACACTGGTGGTGCCGTGCCATCCCACGCAAATATTGCCACTGCGCGGGCCGGCATTTAATTGCGTAGATTTCGACCTGGAGTTGAAGCGATGGCGATCAGGAATTGGATCTGAGTTCCTTTTTTACAGGCAAAGATATGGGTAGCACATGTGCTGATGCTCGGTTCCAGTGCCATTATTCAGAAGAGAAGAATCTGAATATTGCGGGCACACCAACCCAACCTTAGGCCCAAGCCCCGTGCCCAAAGAGCAGCACTGCAGCAATACTGTCTCCGCTCCAGGCTGAAGCCTCAGCGCCCACAACGTTCCGACCGCACCTGAGCGAATGGCCGATCTGGCAGACAAGCTCAGGCATGCCCGCTCCAGGGCCCATGACCTCCTGTGCGGCCTGCACCACCTCACCGGGCAGTGGCCTTTTGGCCTGGTGGTGGTCAAGCAGCATCCCGAGGTGGGCCTTGCGGAGGTGTGCGGCGCCTTTGCACTGTGAGCATCGTCCTTCAGACAAAAGCGATGCGTTCCGTGTAATTGACGCGTCCTCTCTCAACAAGACGTTTGCGACCATCTTTCCACGCTGGTTAGGAATATAAGGAACGAACCCAGCGCCACGGGGATGGTTGCGTTAATATAACTGAAGGGATCGGAGTTGTGCACTGCGGGCTTTTGTGGATAGTGCACATGGGCGTCCTCAATTAATCTGTTCAGTCCGCGTTGGCAATGGCTTGCTAATCCATTTTTCGCCAGTCCGCCTATTGCACTGACGTCTGGGCGCCGGGTGACAATAAGCGCTGACGTCTCAGCCCAGACTGGTGCGATGGATACCTCTGCCAATCAGTTTGCTCGGTCCACCTTGATTCAACTCGAGGTTGCTCAAACCATGTGGACCACATCTGGATTCTCTAGGCGGAACTGATGTTCCCATCGATTTCTGGCCATCCAGTTTTGGTGAACCTTTCCAGGCCATGCAAACAGGCAGTCAACAGGCTTGTGCGGAGATTCCCAGACCACCCTCAGCTGTTCTGGGACAAGGTGAGATGTTTGCAGCATTGGGACCATACTTGAAGCGGGTGGAGGAAGCTGATATGTATTACTGTTATGCCAGGCCCCATCGTTGTCTGTTCTACATGGCAACATGCAGGGGACAACAGTGAAATTTAAGTTGTTCATGTTGCAATTTCTCAGTCCCTTGAGATTTGTGGTATGGGAGGTCAACGTCCAACACAGATCTCTACACATCTGACAAAGTGGTGCTCTTCATTGGGCCAACGTTTTTGAAAAGCTGTCCTGTTTTCACATGAAAAGGAAACAATGTTCAGGTGTGAGTTTCATGGTGTGTTCATGGCAGATGGACAAGAATGCCACATCTGCTTTTGTTCAGAATGCTGGGACGCTCATTGAGAGTCTGGAGCAGGGGTATTGCCAACTTGAGGTGATAAATAGGTTCTGCTTCAGGTCTTCCTGAAAGTTGGGCATACACAAGCAATATGGGGAGATACACAGCAGATAGACACAATTCCCTTCCTGCAGTCTTGATGCCTGGGCTGAATTGCACAAGATGGAGGAGTGACAAAAGCAATAAATGAAAAGGGAACACTTGTGTATCTAAAAAGCTTAAGTCAAAAGGACCAAACAAAAGGACTGAAGATAGCCATGCAGTGAAAGTTAGAGAAGATCGCATGCACACTGTGGACCATTCCATGGCTTGTGTTGGCTATGGTCAAGCTGCCGTGGACTTCCGAACACCTTTTGTAGTGCTTTGTATTAGGTATCATGTTATGCTGAAGCAAAGACACAGAAGCCATATCCACATGTTTGTGACCGACATGTGCAATCGGGACTCTCTTGCGCACTTGATCTGAACATAGTGAATACATTTGCTGCTCCCACTGGCGATGCGAACGAGTGTGTGTGTGTGTGTGCCCAAAGAAACTGGCAACCTTTCAGGATGAGTGTAGCCGACTGCTGGGGGAGCTCAATCAGTGGATGACCCCAGGCACAGCAGATCAGGTGCTCTTCCACAGTGTATCAATCAGTCTGAAATGCACTCCTTTTCACTTACTTCAGGCATGTGCACAAACACCCTTTCGGTCAAAATGGTCACAATTCCATCGTATTAGGTGCCCATCTATCCACCCACCTGCTCATCGGTGTTTTGAACAGCGAAGAATAAATGCAGTCCATGCAATGTGAACTTACATACCTCTGAAAATCAGCAAGCACTGAATATTGCAACACGTGGGCTCCCTTCTCTGCTTGAGCGCCCGCCTCTAGACCATCCTGGATGCGGACAGGGTTCCAATGGCATGGGTGTACTGAAGAGTTGAGCAGTGATATGGACTTGTCGTGTGATGCCTAGCTTGAAGATGGGCCACAAGGTCTTCTACATCTGTGGATGGGAGTTCTATGCGATTGCATCAAGCTGCACTTGCTGGGCCAGCGGGCACCTCACAGGCTACTTGTACAGGTAAGGCGAAAGGATAATTGTTTGTTGCTTCTTTAGTCTTGCCAGCTTTTGGGAAATATGTACAACACCAAACAGGATACAGTCCAGCATGCCATGTGCCTGTCCCGATTTTGAAGCTGCAAATTATTGGTAGTCATCTGGGCAGCACATAACCACGATGGATGAATGGCAAGTAAAACAATCGAAATGTAGCGATCTGACACCCCAGCTAAGAACAGCAATGCCTTGAGCTGTGCTTGAGAGCCCTTCATGGTTGAGAAGTTCCATATGTGGCTCCACATGGCAAGAATTGTTGCAGGGCTGCTGGGGGCACTGTTCGTCTTCCTTCAAATCCTTCTTTTACATTTGTCACATAAACATGGCAAAACTCTCTGCTCTTGCAACTTAGAAGCAGTGCTGAATCGTCGTCTTACCATCATTGTTTTCTGCATCTTTCACCATAGATGCATGAAGTCGGCATCTTACTATGCACAATTGACGTTCTTTGCATTCTTCAGGAATCGCTATTGTGCACTTTTATTGGCTTGACACCGTGGGACTGACTGTTGTATATTCATCTCAATCATGAGGGTGTGATTGATAAAATTTGTTGCATGCCATCGCACAGCTCTACACATGTGCCCATGCAGCAGCCCGAGGAGTGGACCCTCGCCACAGGCCGCAGCTGTGCAATTTTATACTCACGTTTGAGGCCGATCCTCTTGAAGTGCTAGCAAACGAGTTTGGCCAACAACTGCCACGTGTGAGACAGGCACGCAGAATTCCTCGTTTGTCGATGCAGTTGCCCATTGTCTCTACAGGTTTAATGAATGCATGTTATCAGCCAGCGCTGGTAAAATTCTGTGGCAAATGTGCACCTTTGCCTGCTGTATCCTATGGTCAACGCAAAGGCGCATTACTGTCATATCCTGCAAGTTGTGGATGCTGACTATTCACATTTCCTGTCCACTGTAGCTGCCCAATTCGCCATTGGTGCATTATTTTGGCAGATTGATCAATTGCTGGAAAACCCTGTGTTCCATACTGATCCGGCCACCAGCACTACTGATTACACTTAACTGACCAGCAGATTGTGGAAAACGAAATGGTTGCTGTATTTGAGCAAATGAACATAAAAAGTGAACTGCTCGAATTTAAATGATGTGCAGCTATGTTTTTGGATGTTTGAGATAAGATGAGAACTGCGATGTGTGTTTTGCCCTTGTCAATTGCAACATGGCGGTCCTCTCAGAGGCTCCCTTGAGTTGCCTTGCAGGCTTTGGAGCACGTGTTGTGTCCAGTGTTGAAAGGCATATCCTCATCAGTGGAAGTTTGCCGCAAGGGCGCTTTCAGGCCGGGCGCAGAAACGCCGGCAATTGCTGGGTTGTCAGAGGACGCCCTGTGGCAGTGCTTGGCATGCCTCAAGGAAATGAAGGAATTCGTTCTGTGGGGATGTTTGCTTTTCCCAGGTGGGCGGTCCAGCTCAGATCCAAGATTCGTGCCTTTGGCAACTGGTTCTTGCAGCTGTGTTGCACACCTTGTGTGGCAGAATACCAGTGTGTTTTCCTGTGGTCTCATCTGCTGCGGTGGTGGTGTTCATCTGCACGAGTCGACATGAAGGATAGCCCACGCAGCAGGGACTGGGCATCCCAAATCCCCTTTGAAACGACAGAAACAGCCTATGGTAACTTCAAATAGCAATATCATGGCATGTGATGCTGAGCTTTCTGTTAGATCACGGTGCGCAAAACACCTCAGAGAATATTCAAGAATCGTCGAATTTTTTCCGCGTTGTGCAATATTAGCATAACGACTGCGAATTTTGCAAGTTGTTGTTTTGCGCGACCACATCGTATGGTCCAAATCACACGATGCCGAAGTCGAGACTGCCTGAAGTGCATTTACGCAACAGCAATGCCATCGCTGCCTGCACTTGACACCGCCTTGGTTTTGTACACGCCTTGCTGGTAACAGGGACCAACATAATTCAGAATTCACGTTGCATTGAGTGACTGATTGATTGATTTGTAACTCATGCATTATTTGATTTGTTGATTTATACAGTGCTCCTTCATGCCAGTTTCCCCGTGATTGCATCCATATGAACTGCATGATGTCAACCATTCCACGTGGCCTAAGTCGGCAAATAGCAAATCAAACGAATTGAATGGCTGCGCGCTTTTGCCGAAGACATGGCGATCGCACGATGTGTCCAGCTGCATTTGAAGTGAAGAATGCCAGGTACAATAGCACTGAGAATCCCCCACATTCCAAAACTCATTTCCAATCATTCGTCGCTAATGGCACACGTCTCGAAACTGCTTGTCCAACCTCACCTCAGGTGTCGTCAGCAGTCCGTTAGTCAGGGATGTGGTGGGGAGACTCCTGAAGGGAGTCGTGTCGCTTCCACTGTGCCGCGACACATGCGAGGCGATCCTCCCACTGTACAATCGCCGCGTCCGCCCGTTCCTTGAGGAACAGTGCCGTGCCCTTTCAAACAACATTTGCGGCAAGGAACAGAGGGATGGTGTGAAGCGCGAGTTTGCGGCGTTCCTGGCGGGTCTATCGTCAGCGGCAACATCCTGGAAGGACCTGCACAACGCGAACAGAATCGCTGTGGCTGGACAGATTCGAACGCTGACGGAGTGCCTCAAAGTAAGACCGGGAAAGCGGATCCTCAAGCGAGGAAATGCAGCTTGTTGCCTTTGCCAAAATGTGCAAAGGCGTTGCCCTTGCACCGACGAGGTGGTGAAGGGCCTGCTGTCATTCACAGTGTACGTATTGTCTAACGTACTGGAAGGACTTATGGTATACAGCAACCCCAGAATGAGGAGCAACGACAATGCCCTGCCAGCTTCGTGTTGGACCCGGCAGACACTCAACCGCTCAAATTTCAATGTTGCAAGGCCGCACCCTATTGGCAGAGTACTTCGCGCACGTGTTTGAAAACTGCCTTGGTTACAAGCCATGGCCAATTCCAGCAAACGGCAAAAATAAACACATAGACGCAGATTCATAGAGATGTGCACTTTGTCTGAATGTAAAGATTTCGATTACACAGCCAACCGGCACCTCCCGTTGTAACACATATGAGAACGACGGCAGTGTTGGACACCCGAAGGCGAAGTGCGCATCAAATTTTATGACTTCCAGCGACTCAGGCACAAAGCATTCTCTTTAAAAGAGCCAAAAATTCTGGCTGTTGTCGAATCCAAGCACCACAGTGACGCCATAGTACTCGTCGCATTATCATATTTGATGCCGGAGAGATGACCTGCCGTCCTCCTAGATTTGTGCATTGCAATGTGAAGACAGTATTTGCGTCCACAGGCACGACCGATAGAACTTCCAGCCCAAGCGCCCAAATGTCTGGCAGCTTTGTCTTGCTCGAGAGATGAGGTCTTCATGTATTTTCGGCACGAAGGAGCGAAGAAAGCATCGCGCGTCCCTGCCTTAGCTCACACTCATGCGGCCACCCCGGCGAATTTACCACCGGAGCTCGGAGTATCTGCCCTCATCTCCGCCATGGTTGACATGCGGAGGCTTCTCTTGTCTTACAAGACCGCCATAACGGCTCATTGGGTCAATAGAATCAAGGTAAGTGTGCTGGGCAAATGAATCTGCTGAGAGGCTTTGGCAAATTCTCAGCTGTAGCTCTTCAAGTCATTGCATGGACTCACAGAGCCACAAACTTATTGCGGTGCTTTCAGCTGCTCAGAAGGTTGGCGCTTTGTCACATGCTTCTGGATCATGGTACTTGGCATGCATTTTTATTTTGTTGTGCTGTTTCAAGTACAATTCTTCGTTTCAAATACAAATATATGTCTCACACCCAATCACTGATAACTGTCTCTCCTTGGGAAAGAAAGATTTGTGTGTGCATGCTATGCTTGCTTGTGATTACACTTATCCTTGGTTATTAGGTGGAAATAATACCCCAGGCAACATTTCATTGACTATGTAGTAGGTGCACAATGCAGCTAGTTTTACTTGCTATTGTCTTTTGCACATCGTATTTGCTTGTGCAATGTGTGCTCGAGCTTAGTCTTTCCATGCGCACTGCCCAGGACACAGTTGTGAACTTAAGAGCCTGTTTGACACGCCTGGGGTCAAAGATTGACTGCAAGTTGAACGGAGATGCTGCCACAGAAGGCGTGCTGGAACGGCTGATCGTGCAGCTTGAAAGGTTGGAAATGGATGGACACTCGTGCAACGCTAACAACGGTGCAGAACATTCAGCCAACGGTGGCACACCAGCAGATCTGGAAACGAAATGGAAGGACATGCTGTCGATCATTGACGATGGTCGCATCCTGGCTACCCACATGCTCAAAGAAGAACTGACAGAGGACAAAAGCCTCCTCCATCAACTCCGTCAGGTGCCTACTGATATCCAGATATGTCGCTCAACGCTTGGTCCAACTACAGTGTCGAACAGTCGCCTATTGCTCACAATTTCTGCACATGTCGAAATTGTGTTCACGGGCTGAAATCATGTATTGCTGATGCACGTTGTTCCACAAAGGAACTGTATGATGTGACTGAAACATTCTTGACGAGTGTATCTGTTCAACTGTGGTATAATGTCCTGCATGCGTTGTGTCTAAGGCTAGGTTGCCAATGTCAATGCGCTGGCAGCATGAATTGATACGCAGCTTTGTCTCCTTTGTGACTGTGGATGCCCTGAAGCTAGGATATGCAGTCAGCAGATGTAGCATGTGGCACGGGGATGTGATGTGAGATGATGATGGACCATGGTCTGTGCTCATCCCAAGCGGAAATTGAGCCAATCTGGTTTTGGCAGCTTTGCAAAGGTTAGGTCTGGTAGCCGGTGTTGTGAAGAAATATCGCAGTCGCACTTTTGCTTTGCCAGGCATCTCGACTGCGATCTCATGCATGTGCACAGATGGACTCGGTTGAAGATCCCCTTTGATCCGCTGAGTTATTCCAGTACCTATGATATCAACGTGGATGTGGGCCCCTGTGGCCACTTGCCTTTGTTCACCAGTGCAGAACACGGATGCACCAGAGCGGCCCCGCAGCCCTTGGCGCCGTGGGACTCACGCATCCATGAAAATGCACAGGCATGCACTCAGAAAACCTTGAAATACCTTGAAATATTCAACCTTTCCACATCAAAAATTTACCATTACGCTCTTTACCCCGCATTTTCTTTTCAAAACTTTATTCTTTTGGTTGTGTTGCTCCGCTAAAGTTTCGTTCATTCTTCTCTGCAGCAAAAGGCCAAGCGTTACGTTACTATGGGGAAGGATTTAACATCTTTCGGTAGCTGCTGCAACAGCAGGTGCTCATATGGCACGCTCAAAGCTCTGAACTCTGGTGAATCGCCAGACTACTCCCCGTATTCATTGGCTTATGGTACGCAGCAATAGTGGAAGAAACCGAGCTAACTGTTGCTTGAAACACGCTGTGGTCCATCATCAAAATCCATGGATTACATTTGTCGCAGAATGACAAAACACAGCCCTGGTCCAGCTGTGGTGCAGAGGTTCACGAAACATTGTCAGAATGCAACCGAGCACCAAAATACACATGAAAACGGAGCGTGTGCTGCTTGTGAACATTCAGTGCCTTGCATTATCTCTCAGTGCAGGGTGGCCATTCTCAGTCATGGAGACAAACAATAGCTTAGAAAGAGTTTGGAATTATGTAGATTCCGAATCGTGCGCTAGCACCGCCAATCCGCGAGCCAAATTTCGTTGATTATGTGTGTTTTTGGTATTCTTAGGTGCACATCAGATTCCTAGAAGCGCCTGTGTGCGACATATTGAATGTGGATCTTGGGCACACAGTGATATGTGGACACGATGTGATATTATGGAATGTATTGATGAAAATCCGGCGAAGGTGCAGTGCACCAAAATAGCATGAGCGAAAGCGGCAACATGTAGAATTGTGAACATCCGCCTGTGCTGGTTTGTGGCACACACAGGTGGCAACATGGGGCATGTTGTATGGCGATTTCGGTGCCTCCGTCCGTCTTGCCAGCAGCTTGCATGACTTGTGCTTTTATTGTTCGCAACTGCGGTCGCTCCTGCACACCACAGTGTCTGCGCCTTCTCCGCACTGCGGCCACGCGGTTGCGATGCTGCATGTGCCACGGGACTTCCTCAACAGCTTCAGTCTTAATGTTGCTCTGGGTGCTGGCAAAGAGAATCTATCCAGGCAAGATGCGCGTCAGCAAGAAAGAGTCTTTCTGACCCATTGTGAACGTCGACAATTAGTGCAAGCATTACAATCACGTGGCGTCTGGTACATAGTTCGCGAACCCGTTTGCAGGTCGTGTCGCTCTTTGGGTTTTGGTCGCAACAGTGCGCGTGCTGCTTTATCATCATTTCTATTATCAATACCCTTACTGTGTCATGTATAGGACAGTGGCGGCCAAGCGTTTCTTGGGGTCCACGTTGAATTACAACACACCATAACAAACAAAATGCATTGCAAAAGATTGGTGGCGGCGTTCATCTACATGCGCATGTATATCCCCTCCCTTAATGCTGTTGTTTTGCGAAAATACACTTGCAGACAAACAATAAAAATGCCGCGAATGTGTCTTTCCACCACTTGGTTCAATCGTCTTTTCGAAATGAAACATCAACACATCAGGACATGTGCAAAACATTGCACACGGTTCGCCATTTACAGAATGTAAATGCGATAAATGGTCAGAATGGTGGCATCTCAGTCTAAATATCAATCATATTCGTTGCGTTGGCATACGTAATCTGATTTATGGCATCTGCAATCAAACCAAATTTCACTCGGGTGTTGGCCTCGATTTCTGCTCCTTCACGTCGTGAAAGGGTAACGATTTTCACCATGGACGTAATGTTAAATCAAGGAAGCACAATATGCAGGGTGGCATCCTGCTGTGCCGAAGGCCTATTGCAAATTCTTGTAGCTCGTCTCAAAGCACTTCTCGGAGAGACGATAGATGGGATGGCCCATAGTACGCGGAGCGAGAAGCGGCACCGTGTGTCAGGTGGGCTATTGCGCAGTCGTGCATAGGTCCACACTACTCAAACGTCTCCAAGCTGTGGATACGAAGTTAAAGTATGAACGATGATGAATTGGTGGTAAAGAATTGCAGTGATGATAGAATGAACGACCAAGAATTGTACTGGCCAATTTTCAGCCTCATGCAATGGAGACATGAAAATCAGCCGCAAACTGCCTGAAAGTACTTTTGCGTCTGAGCTCGCTTTTGGCGCATCCATCAGCAATGAGCATGTCAGGACGAAATCGCGCTCTAAACTACATTACCAGGTCGTTGTGGCACAGCATTTGCATGCAGCTTCCGCAATATATGCATCATCGCTTCGTGCACTGTTTCTCTACTTGCTACCATGCTCATTATCTTCGCAACTAATTTGGCGACCATGTACTAATGAATTGAAAACATTTGTGTCACCAGTCCACTCCTCAAACAAAGGGGTCGCATCGCACGAGTTGCCCCCAAGCGGTCATTCCAACGTCAACAATCCTTCATCTGCTGCTGGGAACCAGGCAGAATTGCCTCGTGATGCTGTTGCAAGGCTATGGAATGTGGCAGCGGCAATGGCCAATATGGGCCCTGTGCCCGTCAACGAGGAGTATGTGTTGGTCCCAGGAGAGTATATGAGGGAAGCATTGGCAGAGGTTCTGAGGTCCAAAATTCTTGACATTACATTTTCAGGTGAGCATTGGAGTGCGGTTTGCTGTAGATGGCTTTGTTGGGACAAATAGTTTTGTTGCACTACTCCTGTGCTTGTTACTTAAGCCGATGGCTGTCAGCATGTGATGCGCGTATCCACAATGGTGCCGTAGCTTTTAGACAAACAGATGCATTTTGATAATGCAACCGATCAAACCATACAACCAATATAGTGCACTTCTTTGGAAGCGTGGATGTGTGGAATTCATGAAAGTTCGTCAGCAGTAAATCAGCTTGCATTAAAGCAGTGACTGCCCACGCGTCATTTTGTTTGGAAGTTCCTTCTTGATGAGCAGTGCTTATCGTTCATGAACTCATCTCGCTAATGTAATGCCACGGGCTGCATAACCGGACAGCCGCGGCATGCTGCACTTGCCTTGCATCGTTCTGAATATTCTGGGATGGCGACAAGCCATGCCATGTGTATCTCCAATTTTCATTGATCTGGGTGAACGTGCCTGACCACTGAATGTCCTGTGCATGTAGGCCAGAATCTCCGCAGACCCACACAGGTTGCGAGTGAGGTCCATCGATACCTGCAGCTGGTGTCCACCCTCCAGAGGGTCATCCCTTTCGACATTCTCGCCCCCGTGCATCGTGTCCTCACTTCCCTCAGCCACGTCCCCACAGCAACGGTGCCGCCCGGCAGCCCACACCCCCAACCCTTGATCTCCACCATTGCAGAATGGTTTGCAGCAAGAGTCATCGATGATGTTGGCGGCCTGGGCATAAAATTCCGCCCATTGCATCAGGACTTTATGGACGCGGCGAGGAGGGAGGCAGGCCTGGATGTGGTTGCGTACACCAGCCTGCCACAGCTGCGGGCATTGATTCAGGTGTACGGAACGCATGCAGTGGTCGAGCTGCAGCGGCGGTGGCGCACATCGATGGCTGAATGCCTGTCGAGTTTTGAGGCGCTTTTGGTGGAAGCTGAACCTCAACTGGGCGAGGTCATCAGGCAAGGCATGCAATTCTACAGCACGTAATCTAGTCATGGATGATAATGATTCGTTTTACTTCTGATTCTTTCCGTCTTTCTCTGGTAGATGGCTGTGTACCTAGGAGCTGTTGGAGCTATGAATGTTGACGATGAATTTCTTATTGGACGGTCTGCTGAAGCTATTTCTACCCAATGTCCAATACCAGATGCACGAACACTTTGTTAGGTCGCTGTTGGACGCGGATCAACCTCTTAGGTGTCCGGCGTCGCCGAATTGTTAAAAGATCTGTGCATGTTCGTGTTTTTCAACATCAGACTGGGATTCATTATTACTGAACGTAAGCGTTTCGCCATTCGATGTGTCGCCATTGATTAGCCATCTCGTTAATCGTTACGTGAAAGGAAGCATTGATGAGTATGTCATGGCACCATTAACGCTTCGAAAACCAAAGGCCACACCCTATGGGCCACTTCAGCAACATCCTAGGAATTGCAGAAAAACCAATGGCGCCAGTTTCAAGGGTGAGCGCAAATTGGGAACAGCGTTCGAAAGCTGCTGACCACAGCTGAAATGCTGTCGCCTTCAGGCAGCCAAAACGTAGGCTACGTTTCGCCAGCCGAGCATGAGTTCTTCGAGTATTGCAGCGCCCGTTCTGTGGTGCACTGTTTGGAAAAGCACCCAATGCTTCGACACTTCCATGGTGCGAACATCCGCGGTCTGACGCAGCATTTTCTTCCAACATCCATGTGTGACCAGACTCTGTGATGAAGGCAGAGGAGGCCAGGCACAGGCGCAACTCATTGCCCAGCGCATGAGAGGGCTTCCACGTGTGGGTTTAGTTGCTGGACGCCTGGCACGATGCCTGGGCCTGAGGTACCTTCTCATGAGGGCCTTCCTGTATGAATGCGCCGGGAATTCGTCGGTACTGTGCGCGGCAGTGGATGCCTTCCCGGCTGGCGACGCTGGGGGTCACACCCGCTGGGGCCTGGAGCTCTCCTGGGCCTCAAGGCTGCTGAGGGCTGGAGGCGCCAAACTGCTGGATCCCCTAGCTCCGGATCCCGGAATGGTGGACATTTTCTCAGGTACTGTGCACCACGGAATGAGCTTCACAGGGCGGCGTGTAAGAAGGGGCGTTGAAGGGAAGATTGGAGCGAATAGTGTGTCTTGCTCTCACATTGGAGCGGCACATGGATTGATTCATTGCAAGCGATATCTGCGGGCGCAATTGTACGTCCCCTTCCACGAGGAGCCTCTTCACCGACTCCATCTTCATCATGTGCATTGCCATTAAGGCACCATACATCCCGCCAATTTGCTTGAGAGCTTGCCACTGGCTGAAGACTATATTGGGCAGGCAGCTGCTGATGCTTGCCCTATTATGAATGGACATCATTATTTGTCCTGGCAAAGGTGTTAAAACGTTTGCCAAAAAGATTGTAGTGCACAGCATAAGAGTGAATCAGTTTTGTGGGTGGTCTGGTGATGATCTGACATTGTGCCCATTCGGGGATATGAATTCACTATGAGGTATTGACAGATTCGTGATAGTCTTCTAGCCCCACTCATCAACCTGTGTCGCTTGGCATCACCGCTGCAGTTAAATGCATAGTTACACCTTTAAACAACCGGGTTAACATTAGCTCACTCACTACGCCTATCTAGCCGCATACCATGCCTCTTTCCCACCCCACCCCACCCCACCCCACCACGTTGCCCCAGCAGAGGCGGAGGCAGGAGGTAGCCGTGCCCGGTGATTCCTCGAAGGGGAAGCTTGTGCTTGGGCCCGTGCCGCGATTCCTGGACCAGGCGGCGATTCCGGAGGCCGGCGCCACCAAGGCGGCGACAACGATCACGCAGCTGACCAGCATACCAGCAGAGCGCCCGTCCTGAAGCAGAAAACGGCTTGCCAGCCACAGCCCGTCAAAACGCCGAGTTGCGCCGCGCCGGCGTGCCGAATGGCGCACTGTCGTGGAAGTGTGGAGCATCACACTCACTCTTCGGCGACCATGCTGAAGAGTGTCGCGCAGGACCCAAGACCCCGCACGCTCCCAAACCCAGCGTTACAGGAACGACATCACTTATCAAGTTTGCGAGGGCCTTCTTCTTGGCGTACCAGAGGGTTGGTATAAACATTTATTGTCATACGAAACATAGGTTGTGGCTCTCGCCACAAGCAGGTCACCTAATCCGATCGCAACAACCACCCAAAGGATTTGTTAGCATGGCAATGGCTACCTTGCCGTTGTTACCCCTCATTGCGAGGGGCGCGTCCCGATCCTTCTTCCCCACGCTTTTGGTAAGGGAGCAATGTGAACCGTCCCGCCTTCCCTAGCCCTCCATACTCACCGTACTCTGCCAAGGCACTCCTACACTTTTAGCTGCAAATTCATGGCGAACATCTCTTACCTGATAAGTTGGCCATTTCCCCACACCACCCCTTTATACAGTCCCTTACCCGCACACCCCCGTTTGATTTAATATTACCAGCCATGTTACTAATATGAGTCATCAATGAATAGAGTGTTTTTTACCACACACCACTCTCACCATCACCCCCCCCCACCCCACCCCCAATTTACAACACAGACTTCGCAGTTTGAATCATTCGAGTGACATGTGCCATGCAGCTGGGGAAGTTTGTGAGCCCAGCATTGTCAAACAGTATTGCGCTCATCACCAAGAGCAAATGCTTGATACGCTTTAGTTAATTTTATGACGTTGAGCCGCATACCCACCGTGATTAAGCCTTCCAGACATATTTCCTTGCGGTCTTCGACCTCCTGTCGAGCCTCTTTCATTAGAATCCTTTAAGAGCGCCTTTGATGAGACAAAGCGGTACCCTTGCGTCTTATCAGCGACGACGGGCATGCAGACATACAAGAACGTTTTTACATCCCGCATCAGTTCGCTTTGTCTGCTCGCCACCCTGTGGTCAGATTGTGCTACATTACATGATTGGTGTCCGGGGCCTGGTGAATTGGTTGCAACAAACTATGTCGGCAGGAAAAGTCCACGCGAAGCCCTCTACGACCCTTCAACGATGTTGCAGCAATTTATACCACGTTGGTTCGTCCCGTGGCGTGCTGCCCTTGACAGGCTCCAACGACTCAACTATTTTTGGACAATGCACCGCCAAAGCACTTTTGCTTCAGTTCCCGCTGGCCAGCTGGCAAAGACACTTATTTTGATGTATTATCATCAACAAATGCTTCTTCACATTAGGAATTCGTAGACTCCTATACTTTTTTATGTTGTACCTTAGATTTTTAATGAACTGAACATAGACACTGCTCTGCTCGGGCAAAATAGGGAGCTGACGGCTGGCTCATTGCCTTTTTATGTAAAAATGGTGTGATGATGATGATGACAGGCTCCAGCGCGTACCTCCGCGAATGGCCCAACATTGTGGCCCTCCTGGCATGCGCGTCGTCCCTCTCCATGTCAGCAGTGCAAGCTAACGAGCGGAGTGGCAACGGCCGTAGCATGGACGAGGTCAACTTCGTCGTAGGGGCCATGTCTGCGGCAATTGAACAGACCTGCAAGGCTCTGGAGGAGCCTTCATTGGGAACCGCGCAGGGGTAAGCAGACGCTGGGTGTTGGATAGTTGATGTTTTGTCGGATGTGTGCGGGCGCGCTTGTACAAGTATTTCGACAAGTACTTGTACTTGAGAAGTCTAGAATAACGGACATGGATATAGAAGCGGATACAGCCAACTTCGTCAGAGAAGCTCAGCTACTTCTGTTTCGTCTTTACAATGGAAAGGAGTTTCATAGCACCACTGCAGTTATTCTTAGCATTCTTTTTCTGCACGTACTGACGACATTGTGTCAGACGTGGATGCCATACCCAAAGGTCATTTGTCGATTTCGAGAGATGTATATGGGTGCCATGCGTTGCACAAGGCGTATTCTCAGAACATATGGGGGGTGTAGGGCCCAATTCTGTAGGCTTTCGCCATTGCTGCATCGGAACTTTCAGCTTTAGGATCAACCCTTGCTGCGTTCATGAGTTGGGGAAGTTCTCCACATAGTGGTGGAAAATAGATCCTTCTTTGTAGTGGCAGATCGGGCGATGGCGTAGGCGGATGTGAACCAGCAGCGAAACATGGACACCCCAATATAGAAGTTCAACAGATGGAAGCGATTACACACAATGCCTGCATTTGCCCATTCAAAGTGGACGCCGTCGCATCTGGATGAGCCATATATGTTGATTCCTGAGCAAGCTTTCATGTTGATTTTCTCAATTAGCTGGCACATGCGTCGACAAATTCTACGCCCAATAGAACTTGCTGTACCAACTCTGGTTTTCTAAACAGCTGAAACTGTGGTGTATTCTCCTCCATCCACACAATTACGATCCACATTTACGTCGCGCTGGGCTTCTGACAGCATGTGTTCATAGTGCGCTGCGTTTTAGATTAGTCGATATGATTTAAACGGCGCATTTGAAGCCTCCTTTCACCCGTTTGAAAAAAGCTGTCGAGTGGATATTATCATTGGACTGACATTTTTTAGCGTCACGATTTTGCAGTGACCACGTGGATGGCTCCAGCGGCGACTGCGCCACGAGTGGCCATGGGGAGGCCAGCTGCCTCAGCTCAGCGTACACGAGCGAACCAAAAGCTGGTTGCCGTTCAACTGCTGCAGAAGTCCGGGAATGTTTCGAGCGGGTGCAGCATTCTCTGGGCATGGCAAATCGTGATTTGAGATCTTCGGGGTCGGTAGGAATGGGCTACCGTTCATAGGCATAAAGGCTATTAATGAGTGCATGGGGTGATAAATTTGGACAAACGGAAGGGCTCAAGCAGTCGACAAAGACAATTTACATCTGCAGCCCCATGTTGACGGGCATCCCAGCCATGAGAGAATATGGTTACTCGCACATAGAATCAATCAATCTAAGAAACTCTCTTCATAATATAGGTGCAGCGTCACAAAGCGCCTGAGTGGAAAACACCTTGTAAACGCTTGAGCGTGCACTGACATCCTGTTCGTGTAAATGAATGATCAATTAACAAGGATATTTAACTGCCCAAGCCAAAGAAAAACAACCCGATAAAAAACTGTACCAGGGCTGTTCGGATCCCGCTGTGGCCAGCTTCGCTTTTGCTGGGGTTCATGATCCGATTAGTGGGCCAGTGTCTTCTCTTGGCACGTAGGACGGCATGGGCCGCACTGCTCTGGGTCTTGGCGACGGCATCGATCCCCACGAAGTGCCAGGACCAACCAGGGACCCTCGACCGACCCCTGGATCGATCGGATAGTAGTGCTCCCTCCTGCTGTAGCAGCCTGGCGTGCTGGCGCTGTGGTGGCTGACTTTGCAGGTGTGCCATTCTGGGCTGTAGAGCATTGGCCCTGGGGCCCTAAGCAGGGCTGGGTGGAAGCAGCAGTGGCCCGGCGCAACTTCGTCGTTCAGGCCACAGCGAGCGCACCTGGGAAGGCGATGCAAGTGAGCCGCTGCAGGGATAGCTGTGGATACCACTGGCGCCATAGGAGAGTGTGTCCAGTAACAGGGATACCCAAAAAAGGATAGAGGTGTACAAGTTGAGGAACTGTGCACGGAGTGGAAAGAGCTTTATGGCAGTGTATTTTTGTTTCTGTCTGGCAGAGGTTGAATCAGAATCATTGGAGGCTCGACATCAAATAGCAGTATGCTCCCTGTCCCATGGAAGCAAATTCGAGCGCATCGGTAGTCTGAACCACTATTTGCCCACTGGGCTCAGTAGTTTTCGCCTGAGATGATATGTTCTGGGCTGCTTAATGGGGACACGACAACGAATCCAGATCCCTCTCCATTCCTGTATGCAGCAGACTCCCTGGACCCAAACTTGCGAAGCACGCTTTTCTTGCAAACATGGTGCACACAGGTACAGTACTTAGTGTTCGAAACTGCAACAGTTTGATTCATACTTCTTGTGCCAAAGTGGGAAGCGGGGCCAATATGCAATGCATGGTCATGGAGCACTTCAAATAGAACACAACCAATCGAACCTTGCAGTCCTGCCAATGGCATTTGCAGTGCGTTGGTTCCCATCTGCCAGAAGGCATTGCTCAAGGGGGGTTCCACTAGTGAGCACAGCATCAGCAAAAGTCTCTGTCTGAGACTCGACTGATGCCCCACTAGAGCCAACGCAGGAACCCAAACAAGGGGCTGGCCGTCCTGTCCCATCGTGTTGCATCCCTTCTTCTCGAAATCCAGCCACACCCGGAATGGCTGCTGGTGAGGACCCTCCAATAGAGGCGCTGCACCTTTTCCCTGTGTGCAACTTCGTTTGGGGGCTGAGAGTCCTTGCTTTCCCTTTAGGTCTGGCCTGGGGTTCGGCACCAGAATGATGGGATGCCTCTGACGATGAGCAAGTGCTATTGTGCGTCTGCTGAATTCGGCGAAGCTCATTCAATAGCTGGTCGTATTCTCCCTCCCTCTTGGTGAGAGCGCTTTTGTAGTGGTCCTGTCCACAACATGCTCCATTTTCAAAGCATTGTACACATTTTCCACTACATGAAAAGCAGCACCCTTACACCCTCCAGATAGCGATGCGCAAGCCACACTTTTGCTCATGCGATGTCGGCCAATGGGCCGTCTCTGCCTTTTCACATGGAGCAATTCTCAAACGAAGATATTCAAGTGAAGCAAGATTCAGCCAAAGTTCCTTGCCTTGCTCCATATGCACATGCGTTGTCTGTCAATGGGAGCTCAGATCTGCTTGGGTTGAGCACAGAAACCAGCACTGCAAATGCAAGCAAGATTTTCTTATGGTCAAGCATTGTCTACTGCACTGTATTGACCTTGCTCTGTTTCATACTAAGATATCTGTTGAGCCTCTCTTGAACAGCAGCGCCTCACCAGTCTCACCAACATGATTGACATCCAAACATAATGGACAATTATTGACCTCACCTCAACTGCATCAACTTTTTGTTGCCACATATCGTTCGCACGGAGCAAGTCTGCATGGTGCTCTGCATCCTTCGCCCTGATGGCATCGTTAACGATGGACTTCATCTTCTCAGGTGTCATGATTTCCTGCTGGGCAGCCAGAGCATCACGCAAGCCACACGTTTCCTGTAACGCAAACTCTTACTGTTGGAGGTCCAGAACATGGTGACACAGCCAAGGTAATCAAGCCATAGAGGGCGATGAGCAATGCGAACAAGACAAGAACATCTTGCGATCATTCCATTCTTCTTGTGTTGCTTTGTGCCTGTGCTACAGCTGATTACTGGTGGGGGATGGTGAGCCACTTGAAAAAGGCAAGAACCATGCTGCAAGCATTTACCCTTTCAATCTTTTGCGTGTGTCAATGAGAATACGCATGGTTTGAGGTAGCAGCATACACATGGCACTTATCGCAGCACATTATCCTGGAAGACAGAGACAAAAACCCCAATCGCCCAAACACTGTGCTCTTGTTCTCTTGATAACAAACAAAGTTGATCAGCAAAATAATATGTTCGTAACACTCCAAAAGCCGATGCACCGAACTCGCTTCGAATCCAGAAGTACCAGACTGGGGCTAGAACAGCGTGGCACTTCCCAGATGCAGGCAGCATAGGTTGGCATCTCATAATCAGACATGCACAGACGAATCCAATAACTGATGGCAAACTGCGAACATTTGAAATCTGATACTGTGCAATATGAATGCATGTTCGATCGAGCTTCTGCTGTGGATGGTGCCCTGGGGTAGACTTCTCCTCCATCTCCCTTTTTACAGCAGGGATACACAGGGCATGATGTGGACATTCAATCACCCTTAATGCAAAACCCCAAAGCTCAACTGACCACATGCACAGATCTGAAGATTATTGCATCATCGGCCGAGGGTGTTTCTGTATTTTGTTTGCCGCAAGTAGAGAGGGGGGTGAAGCACATGACAGAGACATTTGCCCAAGCACATGGTTCAATAAATAGCTGTCAACATGTCCATCAGCGTCCACAGCAACTTAGGGACCTTTCTGGTCTGCTGCAAGGGAATTTCATTCAGCAACGAGTCAGCAAGCAGCAAGAATACAATGTTCTTGTCTACAAGCACGTCCCAAACCAAGATACCCCGTCCAGCAACATCCCTCACCATCTTACTCTCCTCCATTGATTTTTCGCACATGTCCTTCATTCCGATGATCTCTTTCTCATGCTCACATCGCTGGGAGTATAGAGCATACTCCAAGCGGGAATCAAATGCATCTGACAACTTGTCCATTTTCTCCTGGAGAGGCACCACATCTCACAGTTGATAGGTACAGTATTCTCCTCTCCATGCCATGCTGTTTATCACTGGCTCAACTGCTACCCCTTTGACATTGTGCAGGGAATCTGGCACAATGGTGCAAGCCCAGAACCTCTAGAGTTGCTTGCCTTTCAAAAAAGGCACAGCCAAAAGGTGAGGTGCTTCCATAGATGTGTTCGTTGCCTCCCAGGTGCCCAGGCTCACTCCATGCCAAGGTCAGCCATGACTCAGGGCATGCAATCCCATGTGTGGAATGAAGCAAGGAACTAACACTACCCTGCAGACGATTGATGTCATCATGGCATTTTTGGATGGCATTGGGATAATGCTCCAAGTGGGTGGCATGTTATGGATGTCTCATGCGGTAAGGGGCACCTTCAAGGCGTTGTTTTCCTCCTTCAGCAGTTTCATCTCAGTCACATCGTTGCCATCAGTAGCAGGTCCCATTCCTTGCTTATTGAACTGTGCAAGTAGCCTTGCAATCGTGTCTTCATGGGTTTTAACCTGCGCAACAGGCATGAATTTAGGAAGCAGACAGCCTGACATGCCAGGGTCCATGACTGAGAACAATCAGTGTGACTTGCTAAAATCATTTGTTATCATAGTTAATGTCAGCATCACCAAAATGTAAATACTGCTGCCATCTCACAATTTGGAAAGAAAGGTGCTTGTGCCACCCTCAAAAAAATATGGGGTATGGCGCGACACAAGCATTCTGCTGCAACCACAATACTGCACTAGTACATTTTCTTCCATTCCAAAACATTGCATCGGAGTCTCAGTGTCTTTACATTTTGGAACAAAAGAAAAGGAAACAATCACAACACCGTGGCACTTTCCAGCGCCTGATGACATTTGCAAGTGACTGTCGTCCTCTTAACAAGCAATTGTAGCCACAGCAGACTCCTCCAGCCACTGTGTAGTTCAGCAAGATGCTGACTGATTTGATAGGTTGCCAATAGAATTGATACCCAACCACAATGACAAAGCACTGCCCTTGCACCTGTCAGGCCATGATGTTTGCTATTAATAGCAACAGGAAGTGTTCCAAAAATAAAGGTGTTGCATTTCCCAAACGGACAATATTTTGTGAATGGGTGACTGTCAGATCCTCAACTGTCTCAACAGAGGCTTCAGTCTCATTACCTCAAAATATAATCATCACCCAGTCACCCCATTTCCTGGTGTACAACTTCTCACTATTTATGTCATGGACTGACACAACACAGCCAGCCCACCTGAAAAGTGGTGCCAGGAACTTTTGCAAGCACAGCATTTGGTCCCACAATGTGCATGAGTCACTCTCACAGCCATCTGCAGAATGTGCTGTTGCGCAGGACACCACTATGAGGCAACAACAACTGCCCCAGGTACACAGACAAAGAATAGAGCTAATCTGATAATCAAGAAACTCCACAGATCTGGAAATCGTCAGCGATTTCATGAATGTGCGAAGTCTGTAAGGCAGTAGGATGCAATGCGTCAACTGTCATTTGCACAAATTGCAATTCTGTGTGCAACCACCAACATGTGCATAGTGAGACAGGGTGTCCGCTTGTAACATGGCTGTGGCATACAGCTTGGAAGTGAAGGGAAAAGGGCAAACACGCGCGTCACAGGGCATATCTCTCATGCAGCTGAGCGCTTGCTTTCTCACCAAGGCTTGCATCTCCTCTTTGTGCCTCAGTTCAGATTTCTCCCTCTCCTTCAGATTCCTGTGCTTGATCTGCATGAGCATCTTTTGGTACATTTCCCTCAGTCTTGCCTCACGCCCACAGGCAGGTTTGGCAGCATTGCCAGGGGGCAGTGTCATGGTCTTGCGCAGTTGTTGCACTGGCTCCACATCAAGATCCTGCAACAACGACACAGGTTGGACTGGATGCTTATCTGTTATGCCATGCTCTGGAATACAGGAAGACACACAATTCAGCGAACTCTGTACAATGCAGTAAGAAGGAGGACAGAAAGATGTACCAGAAATGTACCAAAAGATCTTGGCTGACACAGCGAATGTACCCCTGAAGCATCGAGCGACCCAAGGGACCACAGAAACTACCCAACATGGAATTCTCAGATGAGCTTGCCATCTCAGGCTGAACACTGCCCCTGCACTTTGGACGCGATCATGGCCTCTTACGCATCCACAACGATCGTTCTGCAACCATTAACAATCTTACCATGCTATCGGCAATGTTATCATGAATGTAGCACTGCACACGTGTGTCTTGTCCAAGATGCCAGAGATTGTTGCTGGCAGCAAACCACAGTCACTACAATCTTGAATCAATTGGCGATCAGTTAGGATGTTGGGTACTTTTGAAACAAGTGAGTCAAAACTCTGCTAGTTTGTTTTTGCTCCAACATTTAACATCCAAACAAAATTTGGAGCATTTGCTGCAGCCCATTTGTCTGAGATAACCCAGGCAATTCTGACTCAGCAAGCTGTGAACAGCAAGCAGCCCCAGAAAATCAGCTATGGCCACCACTGACAAATTAGCCTTGGCACAGCCTCATCAGACAAACATGGTTGGATAGTCAAGCGTATTGCCAGTGTGGGCTTCTACAAAACCACAGCATCGGGGAATCCAAGGATCATATATGGCTTGCAGGAGGTCTGACAGCCCAAAGACTAGCCACGCTCACCATCTCCCTCGCACTGCAGTGTGAGTCTGCATCAGTGTGCTCACTGCCGTCTTTGCCACCTACTGCATCTTTGAACAACGACTCAAGCCGTTCCACCTCTTTTTGATGCTTCTCCTCGAGCGCCTGCAAAACTTGCTGAAATTGACTTCGAGCATCACGCAGCCGCTCAACGACAACAGCATCCTTGTCAATGTCTTCCAGCTGTGTTTGCAACTCTGTGCACTGCTGCACCCATGCATTGACTTCCTGGCACTTCTGATCCAGCAACTTGTCCACCTCTACGCGCCCTTCTCTGCAGATCTGTAGCTCCTCCTGCAGCCCACTCATGATGTTTTTGGCCTCTGCCAGTTCCCTCTCCAAGTCGGCCTCCGCCTTGGGTGCAAGCGTTTCAAAATTGAACCCAAGCTCAGCATCCTCTGCCACCTCAGCCTTGAATCTGTGAAGCCTCTGGAACTCAGATGCCAACTCAGCCCACTCTTCCACAGTTGGTTCAGGCACAAGGCGCTGCAGAATTCGTGCACACTGGAGTGTGTGACGTTCCAGCTGGCCCATTTTGGCCTGTACTGAAGACTGTTGATCATCAAGCACGGCATACGCAGCGTGGAGCCTGGAGTTCAGGCGAGAGACAATCCTTGACTGGAGGGTCAGCTTCTGCTCATTGAGGGATGCCTTGTGCCCTTGCAGCGTTCGGAGTTGATTATGCAGCGAAGAGCGAACAGATGCGAGCTCAACCACCCTCTGACAAAAGTGCACAAATGACCTCAAGTCCTCTCAAAAATGCAAGGGACTGACAAAGAGTCAACCCTTGTTCTAGTGGCAGCCCTTTCTTGCGTATATGCACATTCTCAGAGGGCAGCCCCAAGCACTGCATTTCCGTTTCAACTTCAGCAATGATACATTTTGGAGGCATTCAGCGTATTCATTGATTGCTCTTGCCAACATGTGACGAACCACTGGCTATGTACCTGCAGGGCGACCACAGTCCTGATTGCATCGTTGCAGTTCTGAATGCACCAAGCAAGCATGGCCAGTTGAGAATTGGACAGCTCTGAAAGGGGAAAGAAAATGATACAAGACATGCTCCTGGCGTGTCCTTCTGATCCCACACTGGTTCAATAAATAATTCTGTCAGCAAACAATTCAGAAAGCCACAAATACCTTGTGCAACTCTATGTGCTTCTCAGGCGTTTCCCATGCTGAAGACACTGTACCCGGCAGTAGAAGAGCGTCGAGCAACAGTGACTGCTGATCCACCCCTGGACACTGAAAGAAAGTTGACATCAGTTGTCAACAGTGAAGCAGAACTTTCAACTTGGAACAAGGAGCCCCTGCGCCACTGATCCTCTGCACTCCATTCTTGCAAAAGCTGTCAGTCAGACTGTCCAGCACATTCAGGATCATCAATATTTCCACTTAGTGTGTCATAGAGCGAGTCAGACAGCCAACCAACTCTGCACTCGGCGATGCTCCAGGCCAAATTGTGCACTCGCTCAGACAAGAATAGATTTCTTGCCAGTCCAGTAGATGTCGCTCAGCTGGCTTGAGAATGGGAAGCATTCACAAGTCCATAGCCGCCTGTCTGTTACTTACCTCTCTGCTGATGGCACTGCCGTTTCCGCAGCTCCATGTTGCAGGATGTGCTGTCTGGCTGAGAGCCAAACTGATTATGACCACACACAATGTCAGCAACTGGACCACAGGTGCCATTGAGAAAAGCCTCAACACAGCTGTTTATGTTTTGAGGAGGAATTTTACACAGTGGGAGCCGTAGCGCATATTCAAGTGTGCTCCTTGCTATTGGCTGAGTTGTCTCAAGACCACACACAATAGCAGCAACAGTAACCTCAGGTTGGCAGGCAGATTGGCAAAGTCATCTTCTGCGATCCGTTCGTTCAATAGGGTGACTGGGCACGAACGCACACAACAGCTAGGCGCAGACACAGCAGATAGCCCCAGGCGCGATTACGCTTGAAGGACAGCATGCAGATGTGGGCATCGGACGGGAGAGGGCTGTTGCAAATTCGGACAGGGCATTACCTTTGACCTCCCCTCCCCAACTCGCCATACGATTGCACCTTCTCAGCGTGAGACTTCCAAAAGAGCTCGTCCTGTTTGAATAATCCAGATCGAGTTCAGTCGAGGCAGTCATGGCTGGAGAAGGCGCATCATTGCACGCACACAAATCGGCGGATTGGTGTCCAGAACAGGCGTAACCCCTCCCCACCCCAAGAGCATCACAGACTGGCCGTTTTCCTCCCTTTCAAAGCGAGAAGCGCGCGCCGGACTTCAAACGTCCCTGCTTTAGTGCTGATGGTAAAGAGGATGCCTGAACAGCGATTGAACCGGGTACCTCTGGTGGGATGTCCCACAGCGCCACCAAACCACCTGGACCAGGGGTGGGAAGAGGTTAATCCAACCCTTTAAGTACCCTTCCACCCAACAGTCGCTAAAGGCCGCAATTGGCGGACGGCACGCCCAGCCCGCTTGCAGATGTTCCCAACCTGCTTGTAATAGTCCTTCTCCGGGCCTAAGGCGTCTTCGAACCTCGCCAGAGCCGCCATCAAGGCGGTCCAACACGCACCGAGGCGATCCCGTCCTATCGCAGCCGATTGGCTTCGACGAGCGCAGCCCGGCAGCTCGCTGCGGCGGATCGGAGGCCGCGCCGCGCCGCGCGGGGCGCATCTGAACCAGCGGCCACCATCCGGCAGAGGCACCCGCGAAGCAGCAGGGCGCAGTCTCGTTTCAGGCAGAGCGTCAGTCTCGGGGGGAGAACACGGGTGGGGGCGACGCAGGCCTCCCGAGAGATGCCGCTGGCGGAACTGGAGTGGTGGGCTCTGCTTGGGAGAGAAAAGGGCGGGACAGTGGCGGCAGGCACACGTCTACGGGCTTCCTCATCTCCCTTAAGCTCGTGTGAAGTTTGATGCTATTTTGAAACGGAATCAAACGCTAACACAAGCTCTTGTGTGAGAGGTCCAAATTGGAGTGGATTTGGTCAAAGAAGCAACTTCAAACTCCAGGAACGACGGACGATACATTGTCGTTCCAGTTATATGCATGTATGCATGTGTGGGTGTGTAACCACTGCTTTCTCATCCCCGTCCACAGCTCGCTGCGCCTGCTTTGGCGGTCGCGGCCACCTTGGGACTTCTGGTGTGGGATGGCACTGGAGGCGTCCGACAATAGGGCCTGCAATGTTCGTTGAACTGGTAGCCGTAATGCGTGTTGTTGCCGTAGTCGTTGCACTAAGCAATGGCAAAAGCAATTTATTGGACAGCAAGCATGCTTGTTGTGGTGACTTTCCGGCTCCACTCAGCGGAGTACTCCAACAGCTGATCTGCTGAAGAGTTGCTGCACCTGTTGGCCCAATTCCAAGAGCACGGTTCAATCCTGTTGCATCCTTCGACGAGGCATTTGATCTGCTACTTCGCAAGCTTTGTAGCATTGGTTTCCAAGTTGGAATTGTGTGACTGCAGGTGATAACATATTTCCCGAGATTTGTACCAAGGTAGTTTATAGGTAGTTGGAATGGGAGCTGAAATCACGGTTGAGCAAGATATACATGCCATCAAAACACATCAGGGACGATACCCACATGTAATCTTAAATACGGTGAAAGAGTATTACTTACGGTGTCTCTTTTGGGGCTGCTCTACGCACTAAACTTCATATCGAATATGAGCAATTCAAGGCAACAGGCAAAAGAAGAGCAAATGCTCTTCGGAGTTGTCCCCGCTGCGTAGGTTTCGGAGCAAATATCGCAACGTACTATTTTTGCTCATTGACGTGTACCATGGATCGACGTCCCATACCCTAACATGATGCAAATATCGCTCTGAAGCGCCAATGACATGCTGTAATTTGCTTATTTGCGTTTCTAATAGGATTGTTTAGATTTAAGCGCGTAACACGTGAATCTCGATCTGTAGTGCAAAAACGGGACCGGCTCGACATGTATCGAAGCAAGAAAAAGGGAAAAGCTCGGCATAATAGGCATAAACATATGCAGCAAAACGAGGCAATAGTCTTTTTGACATTGAACGGCCGCGGGCGGTGGCCGTGATGCTGAGGAAATCGGACCCGTATTGCGCAATCGACGTCGATTGCTTGGTCGACCAAGCACTGAGCATGCCGACGCACACCCGACTACCACCAACAGAAGCGCCGCCCCATTGCATTTCCTTCGCATGCTATTGCAGTGGCGCTTTGTTGCATCGTGCTGGGACTTCATCGGCCAAATGCCAACTGGCACCTTTGTACACACGTGCCGCTTCCTTTGTGCCGTGCTTGCAAGTGGTGTGCTGAGCTAGATTCACTGCGAACGATTGAAATGTTCAATCGCCAAGTTGAACCTGTGCAGTTTGAACAATTGCTTCATGTTGCTATACCCCCCGTCGCCTGCAAAGCGCATGGGCAGGGACTTGTTGCACGAATTCAAAAAGCTGCATCCCACAGCATTTGCAATTTCAAACGCCTGGCATACACCGGCTAGAGCCCAACTGTTGCGGTCGCTCTTTTGCTGAAATGGCAGTGCCTCCAGTAGTCCGTGCAACCCTACCCGGGTTTGGGTTTCGGGTTATGGGTTTTGGTGCTTCGGTTGGGGTTGGCAACCCCTCAAAACCCCAACCACCGAAAACCATTATTGCATCAATGCATTGTCACCATCACCAAGAAACCTTAGGTATCAAAGTTTGATAAGCCTAATAAGGGCGACGAAGTTGCCCTCAGTGTATTTTCATCACCATCATCATCATCATCATCATCGTTATCGCGCTGACCGTTCGGCCTCACAATCATCACCATTCATTTTACATAACAAGGCTGGTGGTAGCATGATGTATTGCTGCACACGTCCATCGCCCGCCCCAGTTTCTGTCGTTTCTGTACTCTTGACACCCCCCGCCACGTGGCGCCCCCAACCCAAGCCCCCCTTCCAGCTCCCTTCCCAGCAACGCGAGCACCCGCCTCCCTGACCCATTGGCGCCCGCCCCCTCCCCCGCTCCCCGCCGCGCCTATCGCTCCACCCGCAAAAAAGCATGCCGCCGATCGGCGCCGCCCATCGCCGATGCGATCGGCAATCACCTCGGCCGCTGGCCGGGATTGTCGCCCATGTCTTCTCGCGGTCACCCGGTGGGGCCGACGCGTGCGATGCAGCGCGGCGGGCCCTGTGCGGGATGGGCGCCCGGCTGGCGCGCCGCGTGCGGAGGGGATGCACGCACGTCGTGTGCTGCGCCGCTGCCAGACCCGTCGAGAGGCACGTGGAGAACTGGATCCTGCTGGACATCTTCGACGAGGTGGACAAGGTGGGGACGGCAGCGGCGGGGGAGGCTAATTCCCGCCGGAGACTGCACCGGTCCCTACCGGCGGGGCCGATCAGCGCGAACGACATTCTGCGGACCCTTTGCATGCAATGCTGATGGCGTCTTTCGGGTGCTCGGCAAACAGCGGGGAGCTGCCAATGCATCGCAGCGGATCCCAGCCATCACCTTTTGACCCGACGGCATCATTCTGGCATCTGTCCCCCCCCTTTCGCCGTCGAGTCGACCGTCGCTCTCCAGACACCCTCTTGATGCGCCGCATACTGATCATCCACGCTCTTCACAATGGTTCCGTGCTCCAGTTTGGCGGTTGGCCATCGCGATTGACCAACCTCCTGGGTTGGATGTCTGTCCCATCGCCGTGCCCTCACTGGCTGTCTGGCACTGTGGTGAGGCAGTTGTCGGGCCCGAAACCCATTGTCGTGCTGGACTCATGGGTGCGCACTTCTGAGGGGAAGAGGCGGAGAGCAAACGTGAGGGCTGCCAGCTTTCCGAGCCCTGCGGCGTGGGCGAGCTAGTCGCGAGTGGCAGCAGCACAACTGCGAGTCTGGAGCTGGGGGCTTGCTCCCAACGCCAAGCTTGCTTTCTTGACGCGAGGACGTCGCATTTGTTGATTGTTGATGAGGTGGATCCGGCATTGTACGGCGCCCTGTGCTGCGTTCAGGTCACTGCTTGCCCGACAAGAGCCTGTGCCGCACACCAACAAAATTGCAGACCAAATCTACACCAAAAAGCGATACATTGGTCCATTTTGCTTCCTGCCTCCTGCAGGTTTCTATTCTGCCTCGCTCGCTGACTCACACACTGGCAGCCAACCTAGAAGCCAGAGTGGGGCGATTGTGCTCCTGGAGGACCACTCGCTGCTGACGCCTGCCGTGATTCATCTCTGTCGCAGGAACAGGAACACCTCGTCCAGCGACCACGCCCAATCTGCATACTTGATCCCCCGAGACCACCGCCCGCAGGTGAAAAATCGAATACACAGCAGCACAATGATCCTTTTGCATCCCTCATCCCTCTTAAGAGGGATGAGGGATGCAGGAGGATGGCGACATCTGCAGTAAATTATGTTGCTGCTGTGCTGTGGGGTAAACATTGTGCTGGACAAGCTTGTGGACGCCGTGTAAAAAGGTAAAATTTAACATTAGATGCGTAGTAAAACTTAATGTTGAGGATGTTGGGATTGCTGTTTGTTGCTGCAATCTTCATCGCCCAGTGTCCTCGAGGCCATCCGCGCCTTGGCTAAAAAAGGAGGCGTCGGTTCTGTCACTTTTGCCTCTCTCCGTAACAGCAAAAGCCACATGGGCCTAATTTTGGCTGATGGAGGAGTAATCTTCCTTCCCTTCTCTGAAATAACCGTCCCCCCCCCGGTGTGAAGCTCGTCTGAATTTCCCGGCAATGGGTTGCAACACATGGAAACTCTTCCGGTATTTGTTTGTGAAGACGGAATTACTAACCGTTGCTAATAATTGACACAGAAGAGGGCGTGTGTGGAGTGCCAACATGCTCCTATCAGGCCCCACAGGCAGATTCTGGCCCCGACCATTCTCTGGAAGAATGCCAGAGCCGGGTCACATTTCCGGGCCACAGTCCCAGGGCCCAGAGAGCAAAGGACACAACGCCAAATTCGGCGACCTGCAGTTCCCTAGGGAAGAGACCCAGGCCACTCTTCGATGCCTGCAAGGACATCACGAATGGCCAGTGCTGTCAAGGGTCAGAGTCTGCTTCGCCAGTTCACGAACACCCTCCCCGCCATTCTGTACCGTCCACCCAGGAAGCGGCCCAACCCTTGGGCCAGCCGACGGGAGCCGATGGGACGGGACACCAACAACGCAATGCCGCATGCCACCCAGGCATTGCAGTGTGTGAAGCGGCTCCGCAGTACAGCTTCGACCCGGTCATGGTTGAGTTGCACTCACGAATACGAGACAGGCTGAACGGACGACAGACCATCCACCAGCAACGCGCCGCCACCACTCCAAAAACGAGTTGTGGTACTGGGAATACTGTGGATTCGAATTCAGACCCTCGTATATCACTGGTGGTGATCGGATCAGCGGAGCCGATTTGCAAGCAGTGCGCAGAGGGAATGCGCAGGATTGTGGTTGGGGAAACGAATGGGCAAAGTACTGGACGTGACGTGAGGTTAGCCTATCGCCATGAATGCACGGACCCAGGGATGCAGCCGCGCGACTTGAAGGCACTGGAACCCGTCTGCTGGGCGCAGGCGACCCACCCACGAGGCCGGGGACAATACGGCTCTGGCCCATGGGCCTTCAACAAGATCGCGGCGGGCAACCGAAAGGCAGATCGCCGACTGTCTTGCAGCTTGGTGGGCAGCGAGGTGATCAGAGCCGCTCATGACGCGGTTGCCAGGTTGGAGGGGGCCAGCATGTGTGCGAGGTGGTGCGAGGAGGGGTGGGTGACCCACGTCATCGTTGGCCGAGCAAGACCCACCATGCAGCTGCTGCTCGGCATTACCAATGGCGCCCATCTGGTGTCCCCCAAGTGGCTGGCAGACTCTATCGAACTTGGAGAATGGCAAGACGAAGCGCTCTATGAAGTGCCGGGTAAGCTCTCTGCGGCCGCCAGCCGTGCTCGGCTGACATTGGCAGACCCTCATGGCACCAGGCCGTTGGATGGCGTCTCTGTGTTTGTGCAGAGCAAGTCGGCCGCCGCTGGCGGGCCGTCTTCGGTTAAGCTCCGCCGCTTGGCGGTGGCCCTTGGGGCCCGATCGGAATTTTCGATGAGGCATGCCGATGTGGTGGTGGTAACGGAGGCCAGCGTGCCCCACGGTGTCCAGGCCGGCGCTGCTGTCATCAGCGAGGCGTGGCTGATGGCCGTCGCAGAAAACTACGACTTGCCAAAAGGGGTTTGCCTGAGGGGAAACAGGCTGTGCATGGAACAATGTTTCGTCGAAGCTTGACTACATTGCAAGCATCAGAACGGGCCAGTCTCAGTTCTGATGAGGCAAATGGCCGAATAACACCAACAGAATGTGGTGTCTCGTGCTGAAACACGTGATACATTTCAGGCATTTGATTTTGCCGATTGAACCGTGGAGGCTGGTACCCTTGGGGGCTGGTGTATCGCCGAGGCCCTGCGCAGATGGCCAGTGTAGGCTCATCCCAGGACGCCGGGGGATGTATTTGGGCTGAAGCATTGAGACTATTACGTCGAGACCATTTCTGCGCTGTCGAACTTGCTACCATGGGGCTTTACCAATGACAGGTGAGGCGAGGGTGGATGCAGGGAGTGGTGCACAACATGCAAGTGTTATAACATGTCTCCGGGACCGTTGAACTATCAGAGCGATGTATACTTGCATCGCGGTCTGCGTTGGCGAGAAACAGGATTGTTAAGCCTTTCTTACTCCTGAAGGACGCTCGACCATATGATTTTTCAGTAAGGTAGCTGCCCCGTGGGGTATCAGTTGCCCAGCTGCACGGCTCAACTGCAATTCTTGCATCCATGTCTGCAAATTCATACTTGTAAAATTCTGACATCTACTTGTAAATCTGTGATCATTTTGACTGCTTATTGATATCGCATTTTGAGTGGGATCGATGCTGAATTCGTTTGTTCAAGTCTACCTTTGTTCATTTAAGATATGTTACATATACAGGTAAGATGGTTGTCGTCGGGTTCCTAACAAGCAGTAAACAGAGCTAATGAAGTAAATAAGCAAACAAGGAAAGGCAATTTTTTATTCAATATATCATCAAACTTGGCAATTTCCACGTGCAGGACGTTTGCGGACGCGAGCAGGGAGAAATGGCCGAATTATCCCAAGTACATTTTGTTGCTTGTACCCCCCGACCAATGCCATTCTTTGCGTCAGTGGCACCAATTCCCTGCCGACCCCGATATCCCATCTCACTTGGCTGGACCCACCTAGTCAGGCCATCTCCACCTCTGGCATGTGGGGGCGACCGAGATCGTCCAGCTGCAAAGACCCCCTACCTCAATCGCCAGGGTTTGGGCGTCTCCAACTGTGCCGAAACGGCTCGGGCGGGATCCGGAACGCGAGAAAAGGGCGTCCCAAAGTTCTCCCAGCTGGATACCGGCATCAACCGACGTGCTGCAGCTCGTTCCGGAATTTTCGAAAAGCCGATGGCTGTGTTGCTGGTTATGTGACACCTTAAACCGACCCCGTTCCTGCCGCCTCCTGGCCCGATATATTTGCTGGAGCACCGTTTGGGCAAGCTTGAGGATGTGAGATGCCCCCTTTTGCTCGCCGTTTGGCCGTTTTGGCTCGGATCTGGGCCGTTTCGGCAGGGTGGGGGCCTTCCAGTGCCCCCACTTAGGGGCGTGTGGCCAGTTCGGCTTGAGCATAAGCCGTTTCGGCTGACACTCGTTGCCGATCTAGGCATGGCAACTCCAGTTCGGCCTGTGGACGCAATCCCCGCCTTTTTCACCCGGGTTTATGGCAGCCAGGGGGCGGCCTGTGCCTTCAACGCTCGCGTTTGCAGTTTCAGCCAATTCAGTTGAATCTCAGTGCTATACTTGGCGGCGCAGCAGCCCCATTGGTTATCACAGGGGACCCTGTTTGTCCCCTATCACTCCTGTTTGGCCTTTTGGCCCTGTTCTCGGAGCAGCACCACCGCCAACTGGCCGTTCTCGCTGTGCCGAACGGTGAACCTTTCCTGTGCTGTCCCAGGGCTTGTCCCCATAGCTCCCGAATTGTGTGAGGAAAGGGGGGACTTTAGCCCTGCATGCATGTTGTAATTGGCATCTTGACCACCGCCAACCGAAGGTCTCAGAGTGCGCGAAGCGATGGCCAGACGGCCACAATTCAGACATTTGGTATCTGCACTGTCGCAGAAAGAACAAATATGGCCGCTGTCGCAGAAAAGAACAGTTCGCGCATTGTCGCAGAAATGAACGACGTTGTGGCAATAACGAGCAACACTATCGCAGAAAAGAACATGTCGCAAATAAGAACAGTTTCACTGTCGCCACAAAGCATAGCAACCGATGATGAGGCACTAGGAATTGCATTAAGGGCGTTGATGAACGGCTTGAATATAGGGATAGAACTCCTATTGTCCCTGTGCCTCAGCTGTAAACCGCTGCCGTGGACTCGAGCGTCTGATCCCCGTTCAGGGATCGCCACCCCTCGATCCTGCCTGCCTTGGTCAACACCACCGTCCGCAGGCGTTATCACTCGCGACCATACCCAGCCTGGTTGGTCTCGCACACCGCGCCATGGACCCGGACGACATATCCCCCTTGGCCGCCTTCGTCCTGTTCGGCCACCAGAGGCCCCGGGTCGAGGGGGACGAAGAGGAGGTCGGGCACGCCTTCGACGAAGACAGGGACGGCAAGCGCGGGACGCGTTTCCTGCCAACAAAGCGCTACACGAAGCGGTACTTGCGCGCGCCGGGGACCACAAGCTATCGGACGGGATGGGTGTTGCAGTACAGGAGCTTGGACCAGGCGGTGAGGCGGACGGGATTGGGTGTCGCGATTGCGCGCGGGGAGTTAGACGACGTCGTCGCCTTGGAGGTGGACGATTGGTGGGCGTTGTGTATTGCGCCCCTTTTTCTCGCCCATTGACTGTGTTTTCGCGTGCATGGCCGTTTCGTGGAGGGTTTGCATTGCTTTCAACGGCTGCTCCTGCCTCCAGCGGCTTGTTTGGGAAGTTCGCGAATCGACACAAGAGGGGGCTTCCCCGGGCGCGTGGTCGAATTGCACACATCAACTTTGGGCATTCTTTGGGCATAAGGCCAACTTTACAAAAGCAAGAGTCCAAATCACGTTGCAACGCCCGTTTCGGACCTCCGCCGCACTACCAGTGTCTGCGCGGTAGACACTGGTAGTGCGGCGGAGGTCCGAAACGGGCGTTGCAACGTGATTTGGACTCTTGCTTTTGTAAAGTTGGCCTTATGCCCAAAGAATGTGCATGCAGTGCACCAGGGCACCACCGATTGAGCTCCCTAGTTGAGACAGAGAAGAAAGGATAGAATTTCATCATTTGACCTTGTGTTGGAAACTCTGAGTTTTCGCATTGCCATGATTGCTGACAGGATCTACCTTGTTGCTACTGAACGTGACGCTAACCCCCTGTTCCACCCTTGGAGATTCATAACAATGGCACACGTGGACTTATTTGCAGGCTGTGCAAGAGTGCTTCCTACAGGGCGATTGGCGCAAAGTCGCCAAACTCATGACTGTGCTCACATTGGAATGGCAGGTGTGCACGTTTTGGCTTTTTTTCCCTTCTTGTTCTGATGACTGCATCACACTAAAGCCTTGTTAGTGACAGCACCCTTTATCACACGAGATTAAAAGCCATTAGCACATCCTAATGGGGCCAGGTGATGCAGTAGCCGTGATCTGTTGTATCGTAGCAATTGAATTACTTTTGCTGCCAGCTACCTTCACATGGAAATACAACACCCTTCCACTTTCAAGGTGTTCCAGCTTTTTTGTTTGTTCCCCTTATGTTTGCATCAACACGCTAATCCGATAGACTCAAAGTCCATGCACTGTGGTATCTGTTCTAGTGCGAATTCCTGTAGTCTCAGTAAAGGGGGATGCACACATAATGCCCTGTATTTGTTACTTATGTACTGTACCCTTAAGTCGGCTGTGTCCAGTTGCATTCGTTCGTTGAGGGCCCATGATAATTCTGCATTTTGCGTAGCTCACTGGAAACTGGCACACAGTAGTCCAAGATGCTCTGTTTGTTTGTGTATCTGTTGTGTGCATACAGATAATGCATTTCTTCTTGGGTTGCCCTCTAAAGAAGATAGACAGGCCACTGCCAGAAAGTGGAGAGTGCACTGCGATGCTGCCGCCCTTTGCTGCCACTGCCTTGTGCAGTTGCGTACCCACCTTGGCATCCCATTATTGCCATATTGCTCTTGCAGCAATCCCAGAGTTTTTTGTACTCAGTGCATCCCAAACCCCCAATCCAAAATACCAGTGAAAAGCCACAGATTGAGCAAATCTTAAAGCATCAACACACTGTCACACACCTTTTCCTGTGTTCATCACAGGTGGCAGTTCCTCCAAGTGTCCCTCATGCCCATCAGCTGGCCGCATTGGCAACCCTCCATTCATACAAAAACCGCAAGCTCAGGCATCACAAGACAAGGGGAGGCCTTGTTGAGGAGACTTTCCGGTCCATGCTGGAGGTTTTTAGGCAGCACTGTGCAGGCAGGGGCAAAATCGAAGGCTTCCTGAAGGCGATGCATGACTTGCAGGTCAGCAGCTGCTCCTGTGGAGGCCTCAGATTGGCCAAAGCCAGAGGCAAGTTGTATGTGGTGAATTGAACTATTCTATTTTATAATATTATAAAGAGACATGTATCACTGCATTAACTTGTGTGCAATGTAATTGGTATTCAGTGCAGTGCAGCAATTGAGGGAGCTGACAGTTGGATGTCTGAGAACTTGCACACGATTGATGCTGTAATGCATGGGACACTGGAATAGGTTGCCTGGAATAATTTCAGAGTGCAGTTTCATGAAAGTCAGCTGCGCTTTGGTTGGGCCAATAGTTTGGGGTAAAGGCCATGGCTGCACAGTGCTTTTGTGTTGCTCCCCTTGTCAAAGAACATAAATCAGTTGCCCAAATGCCCACAACGACAATCCCCAAATCTCTGTCTTTGTGGTTTGGATTGGACCATAGCTGCTGCTGTTTAGTAACTGTCAGTTGAGAAGGCAGAGTGTGGCAGTTGTGTTATTTTGGTAGTTCTTTGCTAAGTCCAACAGGCTTTGCACCAGATCACTACGGATTAGGCCATTCACCCACACAGACAACTTTGACAAGGTGCCCTATTGTGAGAGGGAATTTCCTGCATAGATATTCGATGCCTCTGAGGCTGCAGCCATTGCAATGCTCTTGAATCGGAGGTGAGGAGCACATACAAGGCTCTTTATTCCGTCAAATGGAATGTAAGCGCACTATGATTTGCCATGGATACCCTCAGAGTATTGCACAACCCTGTTTTCAAAGCTCATGCCTTCCTCAGGACTCGATTAGCCATGTTGATAGAAAGAGGGGGAGAGGTATGGCAGCATCGATTTGCTTTGCACGGATACACCATTCCAAAACTGGGAAAGGCAACATTTGGAGTGGAACTTACATTTTAGTGGAGCACATGATGCCTCTTATAATAAGACAGAATTGATACCACAACACCCGAATACACATGGGTATGTAGGCTACAGTTGCATGTTTGCGCAAGTAGTACTAATGCTGCATTTTAGCAACTGTACAGTTTGGAAGCTGGTCCTGGTTTTGTTTTGTTGTCTTGTTCAAATCTCAGGAATCAGACCATCCATTGTGTTGATGGACAGTTCACGGGCTGTGCACACAGGGTTCTCGTGCCAAAAAAGTTTCAGTGTTGCTTGAACTTGTGACTCATCTGTGCGAGCATGGGAACATCTCCCAGGCAAGGGGCGTCTTGTCAGCTATCCTAAAACGCCGCGGCCAGGGTAGCAGGCTCACAGACAACGGGAAGTTTCACTGCAATGCCATGGCTGGCCTCATCGGACACAGGGCGATTCTGTCCAACATAGAGCAAAAGGGCAACGAGTACGGGATCCCCATCAGCAAGCAGCCTGGCCTGCCCCCAGTTGGCTTTCAATCTGCCGTGGATCTCATCGACAAGTCGATGAAGGCTGACTTGGCAAGCGCAAAAGCAAACCTTCGGAATGCCCTGGATGCAGTGCCAGATGCAACCCCAGTGGGCTACACCCTTGTGCATCTGGAAACCATGGAGGGCAACTGGCATGAGGCACGCAGATTGGCCAGGCACTTGGCAAAGGCAGCTGAGAATGACCGCGATGCACATCTGCTGAGTGCAGGCATTCACGAAGCAGAGGTCGGATCCAAAGGGGGCCTCAAGTCGGTTGCGAAGGCCTATTTCGAGGCCCTCAGGTGTGGCACTCGGTGGCCGGAAAAGGTTGGGATGATGGACTTGTGCCAATGGTCTTCCTGCAGGTGCATGGTTAGTGTATGTCATGTTATGGCACAGAGAATCCCTCCCAGCATTACAATCTCTGTTGTGTAGTTTGTGTGCTCTGACGATAGAGGATTCGGGGTCCTCTGGACAGCCATCATGAGGTCCCTGTAACATACAAAGAACCTTACAATGCTTGACAAGCATACCTGTACAGACTGGTAGCAAACTCTGATCTTCTGTCCTCAGCAGAGACACATGCTGTGGCTGTGTGGCCTTCAACGTTTCTTGTATTGATCATTTGTTTGCCCCATCAGGTGCGACCCTTATGCAAGTGCTGCCGTTCACGGGCTCGTCGAAATCTCCAAGAGAGGGTCCATTTCTCAAAAGTGTCGGGGGTGGGTGGCAAAGGGGATGGTACGCCACCTGGACGTGTGCCATCCTTCGAGAAACATGCCCCTTGCGCCCAAATGCTGGGATGTGCTGGCACAGAATTTGATCGCCATGGCAGTCGCCAGACTGGAGGAAGGGAAGGAACGGGAATGGGAGACAGTGCAGCCATGCCTGCAGGGGGCAGCTTCCTGGTGGGGTGCGTACCACTTTCGTTCAGCTAGTGTGATGCACACATCCAAGGAAGGGTGTGACAACTCGATGCTTCGCAACAAGGCCATTTGTGCTCTGCTCATTTGGGGCTGCGACAACAAATTCTCACAAGCTGCCAGAAAGGCGTTGGACCCAGGGAGTGAAGAGGCTGTTGAGAAGGCCGCTGCACTTGCAGAACGCTTGGGAGTGAGCCAGTGTCTACAGGCATAAATGAGCAGCTGGCGTATGCAGAGCAACCATTCATTTGTGGGATTGTCAGAAGCAGGTGAGCAGGGCAGAAATAGCAGGGCAGAAACCTTGCAGAAATAGTTGTACAGAAGTTGCACATGTGCCTGCAGCACTACATATTAGTTAACACTTGGAGAATATCCTGATTTAAAACATTGCACAGGAATGCTGCAATATCAAAATTACGAGGTAAAAATTTATGGCTGAAGTGCAAGTCACAAGAATAGACTGACTCTTTCACTACCACCTGATTTTGGAAAGATTATATACATAGTTGACTTGTTGAGTGATGAACAAGTGCGGTGAAGGCATCGCCAGTGGTCCTGGACGGGTTAAGAGTTATGGGGCCGTCAAATGCTTACCACTTCCACACCTGAAGCAGGCATCTCCAAGTGCGCCATGAAGTACCACAGCAGTTATCAGTGCTGACACTTCAGGGTGCCCGACAGTGCAACAAGTCCCCTTTGCACAAACCCACGCGCTGGGGTACATCTACCCAGCTAATGTGAAGCAACTCTCACCAGATCTGCGCAAGAAATAAAGAGCCAGTTTGCTCACCACCACTGTACAGATGATATACACATGTCTCCAGACACGGCAAGAGCTCGCTTGCACTCTCTGCTGCCACCCTCCACTGCACCAACTGCAATAACTTCGCCCATCCCTGAGCCTCTCCCAAGGCCTCAACAATACTTTACAAACCCACTCCTGATCGTCCACATCCCACGAATTTCCACTCCCCACGCTCATCCCACGGCCTTCTTCAGCTTGATCACCTCCAGCTCGTCCTTGACGAACTTCCCCGTCTCCACGGGCGGGTACCTGCCCTTGGTCTCGTCGCTCATGAACTTCCCCAGGGGCTGCAGGACGCAGTCCGACGCGATGTGCCCGAACACCGTGGAGCTCACGCGCCAGAGGCTGCTACCCCTGGCCCTGGCGCCCTCCACTGCCTTTGTTGTCGCCTCAGAGCACACCACCTCGTGCATCCCCGCTCTCACGTGGCCCCCGGTCAGGTACTCCATCTGCTTGCCCGCCTGGATCAGCAGGCAGCCCTCCGGCACGCGCACCGGCACCCTCCTGCCGTCCCTCAGCCAGATGTTCAGCCCCGGAAACCTTGCCTTGCCGTGTATCGTCATGAAATTGAAATCGTAATGGTACCCGGCAAAAACGGCCCCCTCCTGGCAGTGCAGCCCCAGGTCGATCCCCGTGGGGCCCAGCAGGTGCGGCCCGTTGCGCATCATCTCCACGAACGCGCCGCAAGGCAGCCCGAAACCCACCGCCGAGCATCCCGCAACTGCCTCCAGCGTCGCCAGCAACTTCCCCCCCCACCCGTCCATCACTTCCGCCCATTTTTCAAACCGCTCGCCCTCCGGCACCACGGGCCGCGCGTTCAGCTCCGCGTACCTCGTTTCTTTGGGCCTGGGCCCAACCCTCCAGAAAAACCGCCACTTGGGATCCGGCCCGGTGGGCATTGTTGGTCGACGTTCAGCCGGCCATCCGTTCACCTCCGAAAGCACCTTGGGGTCGTTCAGCACGCGGGGGACCTCCACGCCCTCTGGCGTGACGCCCACCTGGTAAAAGAGGTCCGGGCGCTCCTCCCGCCGCTTTGCATCCCCCCCCTGGCTGAAGTAGGCCTCCATCAAGTCCAGGAACCGGTTGTTGTCCGCAGCCGGCACGCGCGGGTCGCGCACTATCGCGCATCCCGTCTCCGCGAAGCACTGGGCGATCGCGTTGCACAGGGGGCGCTGATCGGGCGTCGAGGCGGCCTCCCCCGGCGGGAGGCCCGAATCGATGACCCCGGACAGATCGAACACGGGCAGCTCCTGGGTGCCCATGGCGGATGCTCGAGACCCCCGGGCCCGGAAGTGGGTCTTGGGTCGCTGTGCTGGTGCAGGGAGGAAGGGGGGTGGCAGATGGGCGAGGCGGAAGAGTGGTTTTGTGAGGAGTGGCGCCCACGGGTGGCGGAAAAGGGCGCCAAGAAGGCGAGGGAAGGGGTGTCCTTGACTTCGTAATAGGTGCTGTAGGGGGAGGCGGAGGGATTAGCTCACCGGAGTGACGCAACGGTGCGTCGGCGCGCGTCGGCGGACATGGCTGGTCATGGGTGGAACTTTGTTCAGTCCGCGAAATAGCTGGTCGCCGTATGACCGACGAAACTCGCCCTGCCCCCCACCGGCTAGTACAGTAGCGATTCGCTGCAAATCCGTTACATTTCCCCCCTCTGCACCAGCTGGCCGCCAACATCATTCGGCCCCCCCCCCCCCCCCCCCCCCCCCCCCCCCCCCCCCCCCCCCCCCCCCCCGATGTTGACTAAATTGACAACTAACTGCCACCACGTCCCACAACGATCGTGGGCCACACGATCACACATTGCAAGGGGGGGGAGGCAAAGCAGGCCCTCGCTACAACGTCTGCCAGCGTCGTCTGCTGCCAAAACAAGCATGTTTTGGCACGAAAGTGACCCACCACTACGCACAAGCCAAGTTGCCCTGTGCGCACCGTTGACTTGCACAACACATCAAGACGGTCAGCAAGATGGGTGGAGATTGAATCAACTAGTCGCAGCGTGAATGCGACGAGGTGTTGCAACGGGGGGAAGGAAGGAGAATAAGACGATCAGGGCTACTATTTGCCCTCCCAACCACTGCAAAGCCAGGCTTGGCTTGCTGGGGAATTGGATCGCACTGGTGGTAGTGGCTTAGAACGCAAGCAGCCCTTTCCGGAATTCGCGGACGGACGAACAGACTGTGAACAGCCTAATGGGGCTGCAATCCGTACGGCTGCTACCATCTGCAAGTTTGCAGACGAACGTTCCATTCACGAAATTCCGTGAACTGTTTGCACCTTTGCTGTACGCCAATTTCTGTTTGTACTTCGCAGACAGAAGTTCGTGGATTCCGTGCCGTTGTGGACAGAGGCGCTGGTGTGCGTCCTTTCCCGTGGGCTGGTTTGTTCGAGAACAGATGGATGATGCGTCTGCGAAAGGGCTGAGGCCCGGGGCCTCCCAGGTGGCCGGGGGTGGGGCGAGATCTGCGGCAGATCTCGCACTATGCTCGGCGTCCCGTGCTTTCCTTGGGGCTCCCTACGGGCGCCCAACGGTGTCACCCACAGGTGTCCCGATTGGCACCCGCGAGTGGCAGCAGTGGGCAGCCATGAGGGGGAACAATGGTGGGAGTGGGAGGCTGCACAGCGCCTCCCACTCCTGCACTTTTCCGGTGTGTTTTGCGGCCATGTCTCGGGGATGGGATGCGTTGCAGTTCACAGCTGGCACTGGACCACTGTGGGCGCCGGTTGGGGGCTCCCGTAATGGGCCACCAGTGCTACCCGTGGGTCGCACCAGTAACTGGCCATGAGGGTAAACAAGTTGTTTTCAATGAGGGAAAACGATTTGTTTGAGACAATGGCGGGAGTAGGAGGCGATGTGCGGCTTTCCATTCTTGTGCCACTGGGCCCCTCCAGGTGACGAACGGTGCCACCCGCTGGTGACCCAATTGACAACCACTGGCACCATTCGCTGGCCACGAGGGGCATGAATGGTGGGAGTGGGAGGCGATTTGTGGTGTCCCACTCCTGCAGTATCGCAACGTGTTTTGTGGCCATGTCTTGGGGCCGCAAAACGCGCCGTGGTTCACTGTTGCCACTGCCACCCTCTGGGCGCCGGATGGTCCCACCGCTGGTGACCCGATTGGCACCCGCGAATGGTGGCCACGACAGCAAACAATGTCGGGAGTGGGAGACCGCTCCTGCACTTCTGCAGAGTGCTTTGTGGCCACGTCTTGGTGGCCGCCCCCCAAAAAACATGCCGCAGTTGGCTGTTGCCACTGCCATTCTCTCGGTGCTGAATGCTGCCAGCCGTGGGTGCCCTGACTGGCAACCATGGCTGGCATTAATTGCTGGCCACGAGGGGCAAGAATGGCGGGAGTGGGAGGCGACGTGTGGCCCCGCACTCCTGCTGTTTGCGACGTGTTGTCAGGCCATGCCTTGGGGGCAACCCGTGCACAGGTGCTCCAGCCGAACCTTCACGGTTTCTGATCATTGGGGACCCCAAATGTGGGGTGTGGATGCGCAGGGCTAGAGTGCCTTCGGTGCGCCTTCGAGGACAGTACACTAAAATTCCCAAGCGCTCATCGTATTGTGAGACAGTGGCAAGTGATGTGTACAGGACGTCAAGCTGGCTGATGCCCCGAGTCTGATGGACGTTCTCTGTTGGGGGCTTATATTCTTGGGGGCCCCAAGTTGGGGCATTTTCCTTTTGGGGTGGTATTTGGAGCAGACAATGTGGCAATGTACACGCATTTTGAACAAAGACAACTTTGGAACAAGGCATGTTGTTGCATGATACCACATCTCTTTTGCCGCTGGAACATGCAAGGCCGTTTTCATCGCTGTCTGAGACAGCCTGTTTCAACAACTAGACCGCCATTCGGTGCAGTTTGCATAGTCAAGTGATTGGCCAGGTCATTGTCGCAAAGATCCAACTGCAAGTGCGATGCATACATGGTTCTGGAGTCATCAAATCCCCCTCGGTTTTGTATGCACCAACACATTATGGGATGGGCTTTCTGCTATGCATGTGCTCACTGCAGCAGCTCATGGGTGGACAAAACCTACCACCCACACACTTTGTGCCACACAGGTGCCGCCGCTATTGTAGTGGCCTGCATGTCCTGTGTTTTTAGGCTGGTAATTGATTCCTTATAAGATGTCTCTTTAAATAAACACTTCAACTTACATTTTCAGCCGCCGCAAAGTGACATTCCATATTCGCATCTGGCATACCAGAATCGACGCGTTGCAACGTTGTTTGAGTATGGACTAGACAACGCAGCGCCCTGTAGGCTGCAGGCTGTAGGCAAGTTGAGTGGCGGCTCCTCAATCACCCACAAAACAGCGTCCACCTCGGCCTCAACAATAGCAACAATGGTGTTACGCCATTGGTGTGGAACAAACCTTCGCTTTCTGCCCTGGATCAGGGTGGCTGCCTG